TCCCCATCCTCGTACCTAATAAAAATTTAAAATCTTACCTATCTCTATCTCTATCCTCATCCACATTCAAATAAAAAATTGAGTTTCCCATTAGGTATAGGTAAAATTGGTATCCCTAGCTTAAACACCTAGTTATTATTCAATGGCCTCCTCCCTTTTAGATGTTTAACAAGATCATATATATTATTTTTTCACAATGACTCAATTTTTTCTTTTATTGCTTTTAACCAGTTTTCTCTATCTAAAGTAGTCTACACATCTTAGAAGCTCTTTGGCTCCCCCTCGTTGATAACTAAAATAAAATTTAAACTTAGATGCCTAGTGGATGGCATGTACTCTCTGGTAGATCTCCTAGGTTAAGACTTTACACTACTTTATTCCAAATGTAGCTCCCCTAGTCAACATTCTCTGTAAAAAAAATTATTTACCCTAATCAAAATTGATTGCATCTAGCTTATTATTGACTATGGTTGGCTCATTCGTATCCCAGAGTTTTGTTTCTTGCTTACTTCCACCATCTGTGATTTTTTTTATAGAACTCCTGTCATGTTAAAGCATCACTTAATAGTAATTCGTGTAGTCTTTTCATTTTTCTCAAGGTATGTTATGATTTTTTTTTTTAAGGAAGGTCACATCTTTTGACTATCTTTCTCTTAATTGGATCTCATACCTTGTAACAAAATTTCTTATCACTATATCCTGTAAACACACCGAGTATGACATTTTTATCAAGCTTTAACCTCTGCTCTTTTAACAAATGCATAAATGCTTTGCACTAAAAAAATTTCCAATAAAAGTATGATACATCTTTCTTTGTCTATACTCTTTCTGAAATGTCAAAATTCAAAAGAACTAATAATGATCTATTAAGCAAATAACAAGCCTTGTTGACTGTTTCACCCTAGTATGGCTTTGGTAATTTAATCATCCTCAACATACGTCTAACTTTTTTCATAATGGTGCAGTTCATCCTTTCAGCTATAACATTATGCTGTGGTGTTTCAGGTTTTATCATCTTATACTTGATCAATCCAAATACATTTTAAGGGCAACTTTGTCATCCTTTCCAACATAGCATAAAATTTTTGAAAATACTGCAATACCTAACTTATGCTATTCAACATATATACCTAAGTTTTACGTGAAGCATCATCAATAAAAGTAACAAAATACTTGCTACCACTCAATGACACAACCTCAATGGGACCACATACATTAGAATGAATCAATTCTTCTATTTTCTTTTCTCTAAGAACGTTTAAACCTTTATAATGCTTGCCAAACAAATAATGATCACATGAATCAAGAGACATACCTTTGGTTAAGGCAATGAGAGACTGCTTTATCAAAGCCGTAATCCTTTCTTACTCACGTGTGCTAGCTTATTATGCCACATATATGCTGAAGCATCATCCTCAATGGCATTTATCTGGTTTTTGTTCAATTGCATCCATGTCTTATACATTGTGCAGCATAGTTTTCTCCTTGTAACTACCATAGATCCTTTGAGAAGTTTTTACTGTTCATTCTTTTGTCGACTCATATATCCCTCTTTATCAAGGATATTAATAGCAAGTAAGTTCATTCTCATATCCGGAATGTGTCTGACATCCCTCAAAGTCAACATGTAGCTCGTAGTAGTTTGTACAATAATATCATCAATCCTAACAATTTATGACATATTTTTGTTTCCCATATTATTGCAACTAAAGTTTCCTACTTTGTAAGTTGTAAATAAATTCTTCTTAGGAATACAATGATATGCCACTCTTATGTTAACTATTCACTCAATATAGGGATCACTAATATTATTACAATCACCATGTGTAAAAATCAAAGTAACTAAATCATTATATGAATTTACTGCTGCAACATTGTCATCATCTAAACTTTTACCTTTTTTATTTTTTTGCTCTTGCTTCAAGATTTTGTAATATCGCTTTATATGGCTTGGTTTACCACAATAGAAGTACTTCATTTTATCTTTGAACTTGATTCTATGTTTAGACTTACTATAGCCTTTTAAGTTTCGACCTCTATTGATGTTTCTATCCATGTTCTCTATGACAAGAACTTGATTCATAGGGTCTAAATCTTTTGTCTTGCTTCTTCATTAAGCATATTATCTTTTATCATCTCCAATGTCATTTTGTAATTAGGAGATGAATTAAGAACAATCACAACTAGAGTATTCTAGCTGTTTGACAATGAACCAAAAAAAAAATAATAATAATGCCTTCATTTGATCATTCATCTTAAGCTTTATAGTAGTCATTTGATTAAATATACCTTAAAAATCACTCAAATGCTCTATAATCGATTGTCCATCTTTGTATTGTAAAGTTAGAAGCTTTTTAACAAGCATAACTTTATTCATGCTTGTTTTCCTTTCATATAATGTTGCTAATTTTTTTCAAATAATATGGGCGTCTATCTCTTGTGCTATATAATGGAACACGTTGATATCAACCAATTTTTTAATTGTAGCTAGCATTTCTACCTAGTTTCTTCTAGCTTTCATTTTTTGTATCTGTTGATTTAGTCGAATCACTCAATACTTGCTCATACAAATCTTTGTAGGCTTCCAAATTGAATAATTTAATGTTGTCAATTTTATTATGGAACCTATATCACCTTTCATGACTTCAAACAAAATTTATTTTTGTCAAATAAAATTTACTTCTGTCTAAGGTGACTTTTAATTGATGTTTTAAAATAAACCTCATACTAGTTGCTGGGAGATTTGTCATACTTAAAGCTACAAAAGCACACCAGAAAACTCACACATACATATTGGACACTACTTAAAGTCAAAAATTTAAGTTATTAAATTTCTAAGTCCTTCATATATATATATATATATGATATTTTATTCAGATTTTTAAGTAATATGAGATTCTTTACTCACATATAAACATTATACCGACAAATTTTTCATCATTTTTCGGGCATACGGAGCTTTGAGCAGTATTTGGTTGACTAGAAACCTGAAGGAGACACACGGAATTCAGTACTTAGAAGCTATCAAACAAAATTCATGATCAATCCAGCTGTACAAAATTATACCGATTATGGTGTTTTTCGTGTTAGGTAGATGTGGGGGAACTCTGTTTCAAGTTTATAAGACTTTTGATCTGAATTTGATGACTTTGTAGCCTGGAAGAAGTCGTAGTGCCATCAATTCCTGTGTCTTTTGCCGGTAGGTATGATCACTGTTGACAAAATTTATGAATACCAAGCCTGCAATGTTGCTTCTGACCCGAACATGCCTTCTCTACAGGTTGCAAATTCTCATAGTCAACAAGGCTTACAACATAATTAAGCAAAACGACGACTATGAAGTCGGTAGGATAATTAGCTGGGGATCTTTCTCAATGGTGTCAACGTAAACAGTAATATGCTTATAGAATGCTTCATTAATGATCCATCACAGAAAGCAAAATATCGGCAAATGATCAAATTATTAAATCCACAATAATAACTCATAAATTCCTACCAAACTATATAGAAACATATGTATTGTTTTGAAATTATGCCTGTGGTTGTACATTGTCTGTTTTCTTTTAAGAAAATACAGTGACTTGAGCTGCCCCATTTATAAAGCAGTAATAACTACTACTAGTTTACACCAATATCTTAAAATCAAGCACTATTTGGACTAATTTTCAGCTTAGTTTGAAGGGTCAATCCATTCCTGACGGTGAAAGTGAAACCTCAATTGTTCCTGGGCAAAGTCCTTGTCTTGGCAGGGCAAAGTCCTTGCTTTGGCGGGGCAGAGGCTTCCATTGCTGTACTTGATGAGACTTCTCTGGCAGCTTTTTTTCTTTTTGGTACACTAAAACTCTGGACAATGACAAATGAGGGGAAGACCCTCTGGCAATCCTTAGAAGATACTGCCATTTCTAACTGTGAAAACAATTATCCAGTCCACCAATTTAGTTGTTTCCCTGGTACAAAGGTAAACTTGGAAAGATTAATTTGAACAGGTTTAATTGACTTTATATATTGACAGGTATGATTTGACCCAACTAATCTAAAATCTCTTTCCCAGCAATTTCAACTGTCTGAATTTTCCATTCTCATATTAACACCTAGAAGAAAAATGGCGTACTAAAAATTTTTTTTTTTTTATGACAATCTTCCTCTAAAATGATTTAACGACAAGCTTTCCTAGCTCTTTTTCAACCACTTCTCCACTGTGGTCTTTCACATGCCTACTAGTTAGTCCACTGCTTTGTCATTTCCTTTGTTAACCTGTTGTGGATCCAGTCTTCCCCTCCTTCCCTCCCTTTTCTTTTTCCCATTCCTCCAAAACATTATCGTCAAACCAAGCTGTTTGTTCCATTTAACATTATGAAAATGAACTTGTTTTGGAAGTAATTATAACAAATGTCAAGGGTTATTAATAGTGGGGTCAACTCCTTAGCTGTTTGTTTCATTTAACAATATGAAATCCTCTCACAATTGTGATCAGAAATTTAAGGCCAAGACTGTCAAAAACTTGAAAGTAAAAAAAAAAGCGCAAACATGAAGGACCACAAGCACAAAGACATCCTGAAAAAATGAAAAGCTTGCACATCTAGTGATTGCCCGCCCATTCCCCAAATCTCCAATTTCTTCACCCATAAGCTTTTCAAGCTTGCTTGGTTTGAAGCAACAAGCTGCAGTGTGAAAACCTATTTCCATTTTGTCCTTTCTTGCACTTAAGACACAAATTTACCACACTTATGTTCATGCAAGTCAAAATGAAACCAGAAAACCGTTAATTCTTCTGTTTGCCAAATGTTTCTTTATGCATTCGATATGACAGCACTTATGAAACATGGGAAATCATCATAATGGATAACGTCCAAATGTAGTTTGAATATGAATCAGCTCAAAGAATTTTTCTAGGATTAATGTGATACCATAACCATTGCCTAAAACGCTATGCATAACCAATTTGCCTATCGTAAGGACAATCATGAACAACATGATTTTAGCACTGCTGCCATCTGGAACATTAGAAAAGATTTACTAAAATCATTTTTACATTCAAAGTTCTTCTTTTGCGATTATAATTTCTGCCTTTTTAACTTTTACATACAATTATGTATTGAGCTAGCTCATTCTTCAGTATTAGATATTGGGAAATCCAAGAACACACCACCACAAACTTCGGAATTACAAAGTAAGGATAATTAAGGCCCCAAGACATGTAAACAAGGAAAAAGCAGTGTCAGAATAGATAAGAAGGCCTTAGGTCAGATGACAGCTATATAACAAGTATTATTTTAGGAAGAGAGGAAAGTCACTCCTGGGAAGGTAGGAGAACAGCCTGCTAGTGGGAATTTGGGAATTTGGCTGTTCTCCAGGGACTTTTGATGCTCTGTTTAACCTAGTAGAAAGAACTCCCTGGTTTTTATATGGTAAAACTATGGGAATCCAGAATCCCAATTGCTCATTTGCAAACTCCCAACTGACCTCCAAAGTCGAATCAAAGAGGACTTTAGCAGATATCAATCCACTTCTGATCCATGTTAGCACATTTGGCCATTAAGGCAATAATAAGTTATGAAACACATATTGTTGCACATTAAGAACATAAATTGCCGATAATATGCAACAGAGAAATTGAATGATAACATGTTAAATAGTACTAGTTATTATGACATGGAAAGATTAAGGAGGGCTACTAAGCACATCCACAAACATACGATTTAGTGAAGGTAGCCGCATGTGCTGGTCCTCTGCTCTACTCCTTTTGTACGGTAGCTGTCGTGATGGTGAGACCGAAGATGTCACAGCCCACAAATCATCTGAGCTATCACAGCTAAAAAATGCATCAATGACACCATTAGGACTGCTTGGTATTGATCTATGCTTGCGTTTGTGGCCTTGGTTTCCTTTGCAATGGCTTTCCAATAACTCTAAGATGAGCTTGTAGCAGGCATTTACTTTATCCTGTTGAAACAAAAGCACAATTAACTAATGGACAATCAAGTTCCAATGAAATCTATGAAAACCGACAGGTAAGAGAAATTCAAAACGTAGCACCCCAAGTGATGGTGTACAAACCTCACATGTCTTGAGTACTCCAATAAGCTGTTTCTGATATTCAAGATAATGGTATGGTTCAACCTCTTTAATAACATGCAGCATTGTTGCAGCAGCTAAGATAGAAGGAATATAAGGCATGAACCTCGAATCTGGATCAAAATAAAATTGGAAATTTAATATTAGAACTCATTAGGAATGGTTAAAATGCACATTTCCTTCTTTGCACAGTAAGTCCCAAAAAAAAAAAAAAAGGATACCTTTTTGATTAGCAATGAAAACAAAAACTGTTTTGACTACTTACCAGCAATGAGAAAGAGAAGCAAACGCTCACACCTACGGAGGAACTCCCAATGCAGATGTGTCCTCAATCCAAGCCTCCTTGTAATGTGATCAAAGAATGAAATTGAAGTCACCGGATGCATCCTCCATTGCAGAGTTGACAGCACCAAAAGCTCCATTCTTTGTATGGTATTTGAATCAAACACATACTTGGATTCATCCACCTAAAGAAAGAGAAAAAATTACAAAAATCCATCTTTAATAACTCAATAACAAGTTCAGAAACTCAAATTTTAAAAACCAACAAACTTTGGACTAGAGTTTTGGTTGGATTAGACACGTACTTGGAGGTCTAAAAGAAGTGGCACTTGGGTTTCTTCAACCTTGGCAGCCAAAGACAAACAAGCGACAGCAGCTAATTGTCCCATCCATGGCTTGTCCTTCTGAAACTTCAAGCTTGAAATGAACCTATCAAAGTAATTCACAGCGAGAACTATGGTCAAAGCATTGAACCCATAGTGTGCCTTAACCTTGAAAATCCACTCCAAAGCTTCTTTGCGAGCCAAAACTAAAGACTCATCTGAGTTAACATCAATGTAACAAAGATGGGTTTCTTTCTCTCTAGACATTAAAGAGAGTAACTCATCATCTTCACAGAATAAGTCATGTTCAATAAAAAATGAAGGTAAAATTGTCTCCTTTTTCAGTGTTTCACCACAAATTTCACTTCCATTTTCTTCAAAACTATACTCTCCTAAATCTTCTTCTTCACAATACAGCCCATCAAGAATCAAAGCTGGGCTTTGAATCCGCTGAGTCTCTTCTTGCAGTGCCATAGCTTTCAATGAAGAAGAAGAAAATGAATTCTAATTTCATCATAATACCATAAAAAACACAGCAAATCTCAATCTCATTTTATACTCTTTCAGCAGTTTCCCCAACACTCGTCTCTGGGTATATTAATATTTGTATTACTCTGCAAGTAAGAGGAAGAGAGAGACAGAGAAAGAAAGACCAATGAAGTAAGTGAGGGGTTTTATCTGAGAAACCTTTCACGCTTGGCCCTTTTTACAGCCTCCCATGTTTTTTCCCTTTTCTTTATTTATCTCCTTTTCTTTTCCATTCCTCTTTTTTCTTTTTTTTTTTCATATAATAATATTATTATGTTAAAAAAATTATATGATCTGAACAAATACCAAATGCATAATTCAATAAGATATTATTTTTCAAATTTTTTTTCTTTTAAGAGATTAAACCATCCATCTTATTCGTGAGTTATTTTGGGGTACAGATTTGCGCCCAGTAAAAGATTTAGTAATTAGAACAGCACTTTCCTCGAGTTTTTCCAGGAAAATGAAAATCTATTAATGAAAAAGAAAAGGAAAGTATCTGTGCACGCTTCTGAGTTAAAGCTTTTTATATAGACAAAAAGGGGAACCGGAAACCAATGAATCTGATACGTATTTGATTTGTGCAGATATGTATCGAGAATTTCTCGTACATCACCTACGAAAGCGTATCATGATTTTGCCAGTTATGTAACTTTGCTCCAAAGCCACTTTCGGAGCAATGTTCTTGAAAAACACGCTTCTAACATCCGTCGATGAATCTGATACGTATTTGATTTGTCCAGATACGTATCGGGAATTTCTCGTACATCACCTACGAAAGCGTATCATGATTTTGCCATCTATGTAACTTTGCTCCAAAACCACTTTCACAGCAATGTTCGTGACAACACGCTTTTAACATCTGGTCGATTTTTTTAAGGGACAGTTACTGAAAGTGAGAAAGACGCTCTGATGGGGGAGGGTTTTATTTTTAGGGAGGTATAAGACCGTTGACCGTCGAAAGTGGGGATTTGTCATGTGGGGAGTTGAAAAAGGTTCGGTATCATGGTCTAAATGCCGTTGGGACACGTGTACCAGTTAAAATTATTTTTGGTCGAGAGTATTGCTATTACCTAAAAACAGTTTAAAATGAAAAACTTGGCTTTTTTTTATTTGGGAAATATGGCAGTTGTTGTTTTAAAACAAACAATAACAGTAATTATAATATTCTTACAAGTTTTCTTTGGGATAGAGGTGATAAACGAAGGATTTTAAACATATTTAAATTAGATAATTTTGAATTCGGATCACATTAGATTTTGATTATATTAAGTTTGAAATTGTAAAAATTAAATTGTTTTAGATTCAAATTAAAAATGAAATTAGTAATTTAATTTTGTAATTTTATCATTAAGTTTAGGTTAATAGTGGTTTTGAATTTTTTTTGTAATATTTTTTAATTCAAATTATTTTCAACTTGATCTGTTTTAAATTATAATTTTTTTGAGTTTAAATTATATCGAATTCAAATAATTTAAGGTTTGAATCTTTGATTTTTTTTATCAATTAAAATATGAGCATGTTTGAATTCAAGTTTCATTTGTCATCTCTAATTTCTCGTATGACGTTCTTATTTTTCATCTATGTATAACACAATAATTAATGTTCACAAAAAAAAAAAAGCAATAAACTATCCTTTTTCGGTATAAAAGTAATATATATCACTACTTAGTGTTGTTGTGGAAATAATATTGTCAGAAAGAAGTATTATTTAAATTGATTTTGATAAAAAAAAATGCTAAGTAAATAGAAGTGTATAAGGTAATATAAGAAAGAATAGGACTCTTGCACCATTCTTGTTTGACACTTCAATAGTTGAAGTGTACAAATTTGTGCTTTTCAATTTCAGAACATAATCTCAATTTTTATTTATTTTTTATAACTCAAATTTTGGGCGGGTCATATCGCAAACAGACGAGCCCCGGCGAGGGAACTGGCAAGCCAAGGCAGTTAGGCAGACAGCCAAGCCAACACCTCAGCCTCAGCCCTCGCCCCTCAGGCCCTCGACCAAAAAAAGGAACCCTTAAAATTCTCTAATGTCACTTCCCACAACTATTATTACGTTGCCATCCTGTCTACCAGAAACACATCCCGTCTTCTTCTTTCATTTTTGGTAGCCCTCCCTATCATTTCTAGGGCAATTGATAATAACTGCTTTAAAGAAATTTGTTAGCAATTATTGACGAATTAATGAATTTTTGGACAAAATTAAATTGAGAAACATGTCCTAAAAACATTATTTTCCTGGGTCCAGGCAATAAGATTTACAAAACCCGTTTTGATTTACTTATTTATTTATTACTTACCAATTATTATTATATATACTTGTTTTGCACGGGGTATCAATGAATATTGATCTGTATTTCCTGGTGAGAAAAAGTTGGCACTGCAATGAAAAATCATGAATGCCAAGCATAATTACTTTACCAAAAACCTAAAATAATTTTGTATAGACAATAATATTCAAAATATACTATTGCCATAGCATTATTTCGTTTAGTTAGGCTTATGTAGTTTTATTAATTTCGATTCATTTTTTTAAATATAAAACCAAAAAAAAAAAATTAATAGCAAATTGTTTTTTGCTCTTTATTATTTGATAATACCTGGAAATTAAATTTCAAAGAAAATGAAATTTTTTGCTTTAAAAAGTAATAAAAGTTGCAAGAATGATGGTTTGATCACGAGAACTTGTTAAAAGAAGTAAAGAAAAAGAATAAAAAAAGTCAAATTATACATAACAAAAACGTACCTATAACTTTCTATTCTCAATAAATAAATTTGGTGCGAGTCAATATTGGAATAATGGCCAGCATTTTATTTATTTATTTATTTTCATAAAGCTTAGTAGTAGAGTGGATGAACCTAATAATAATTTCATGTATGAATGTTTTTATTTTGAAAATTTCTCTACCTTGACTGGCAATTCAATTATGACTTATCAACATCAAAATAATGTTCATCATTTTCCTCTGTTCTACAAATTTTAACATCATTATTGTAATTATCAACTAACATTTTGCCATTAGTGTGGTTATAAATCTCTATTTTAATGATATATTTAGAATTTTTTTAAAGTATCTACTTAATAATATATATAATTATAGATAAATTAATTAATTTTATCAATGAAAATAATATTCAGGATAAATGTACTTTCAATTTTTTAAAAATTTTAAGAGTTTCCAAAAAAAATTTAAATATATTCAAAATATTTTTCTTTTAAATTTTATTATTTTTCAATTTTAAAAAATGTCCATAAACACCCCCCCTTATGAATCCACCGGTGCTCAATAAATGAGATTTTGCATGTAAATGGGTGTCAAAAGTTGAAAATGACACCTTAACCCATCTCTTAACACTAGTTTACTTTGTTTGATCCGAAGTAAGAAAGTGGTTGCTGTAATTATGAGTTACCTCGACTAATGTTTGGCTCAACATCTTCATTAAGGTTGGTAATAAATGAAATGAAATAGAGCTTCAATCACACTCAATTACTCATTAGGGTTGGTAATCGATTTTGTTTTAGTTTGGTGTGGAAGCTCACTACTCAATTACTCATTGGTTTAGTTTGCTTTAATTGTCGATAAATGAATAATCGAATCGAGTCGAATCGATACAAAAAAAAACTTGAATTTAACTTAAAATTTAGTATTTGAATTCGAATTTGAGTTTAAAATAATTTTAATTTTTAAATTCGATTCAATATAAAAATTAAATTACTCAAATTCATTCTATTAAGTTTATTTATCGAATAAAAAAATTTGATTATTATACTCAACTTCAAACTCGATTATTTATATTTGAATTCGAACTCAAATTTATATATATGTAAATAAAATAATAAATTTTTAATTAAAATATATTAAAATATAAAATTTTATTAGGCTCATAAATTACTCTAACTGAATATTAAAATATTCAAACTTGAATCACTCAATAGATTGAGTTACTCGAACTTGAACTCAGTTTGATAATAATTAAATCAAATTTAAAATTTATTCGATCAAAACTCGAATAATTTAATTATAAATACTGATATATTATTTACTAACCTACTTGTTGATAATACATTTTCCATGCATAAGATGAGTTTTAGAGCTTCGATTTGAGTGTTTGAACAAGCTAATGTTTAAGATAGTTAGGATTTAAGAGAATTTCCTTCTATCTCATACCCAAAACTTTGAATTTTCATATGCATAATAAAGAAAATAAAAAAGATAAAGACAGAGAGAGGAATTTAAATATTTGAGCTTTGACTTGTTATTACAAATCATTGATAAAGGGTTTACTTGAAAAAAAAAAAAATTTATCATCCCAGAATTGACACATCTAAATGTTTAAATGATGTTTTAATCCAGCAAAGGTTGCCTTCATCTGATGCAAATTGACAATTTTTTCATTTTTTCAGCAATAAATCATAAGTAAAATGATGAATTTATCGAGTTCGTGTTAAAAATCAACTAGTTTAGACTTGAAATTTTGATCCACTATAGTTAGAGCTCAACCAATTACATACACATCCACTAGAATTCTTAAATATATCCATATTTTGAATTTCAGCAACTTGGATTGGAAAAATTAAACAATTAAAAAAAAGATTTCAGATTTTTTTAAATACAAAAAAAAAACTATAATTTGAGATAAAAAAATTATAAATGTTCAAATTTAAATCTCCAATTTGATGGACAGTACCACCACTTAAGGCGACCTTTAAATTTGGCTGCCTTGACATTAATAGTATATATTTGAATCCATCTTCAGTGAAATTTTCTATGAACTTACAATCAGTTACTCTCTCCCTCCCTACTTATCTGTTTGTATTAAAGATCATTTGAAGCTTCAACTATACTATATCTAAATTAAGACATTAATAAATAAGTGGGTATCAACTAGTTAGTATAGTTATATCTTGCTAGCTAACTTTACATTAGTTCTCAGCTTGGGTTGTATAAAATGGATTAATACAATTTGACAATGGAAAATTTTTCAGGCACATTCAACAGTAGTATAAAAAGGTTTAATGTTCATTAATGTTTTTTATAAGTATCATTTAGTTCATGTAATTTATTTATAAAATTCCATTAATGGATGTTTATAGCACTTGTTAAAATTAATTAAAATTTTAATTTTAAAAAATATTTTCTTATATATAAAAGGTTCACAACAATTCATATATCATTCTCATTCAATGAAACAAAAAAAAAAAAAAAAGGAGAAAGTTCCCCAATTATTAGTATTATTTTAAGGGAGAAATCTATATACACATTGAAAAATAAAGAAATAAAATAACTTTTTTAGGCTTAAAAAAAAAAAACAAAAATGTTCTGATATTGTCTTGAAATTTTCCGGTTTCATCTTCCTTTTTCTTTTGTTTATAGCCCAAGAAAGAGAGATACTTGACGGAGGTGGGTGAAAACAGCGTTGTCCAGGCAAATCCAGCTTTGAAACTTAAAAGCATAACAAAGTTGTTTTTTTTTTTTTTTTTTTATGTGATATGGAAGGAATTTAGGGATAGATAAGTTGCTTGATTCTTCAAATTAAAGTAAAATATATCGTATCCAATAATTTAAAAAATATTAATTATAAATCATGTATTTGAAATAACTTTAACAAAAAATTATTGGCTAAACTTGAATCAAAGACAACTTATATAAAAAAAAAAAGGATCCTATCAATTGAGTCAATCTTTTCTCGGTATTTTTTTTTTTTTATTCTCATTGTGTTATTTATTTTGCAATATTTCATTTTCATGCTTTTGCTTTTTCAATTATAGAATCATATTGCCCTTTTCTTCCTTTTTTTTTTTTTTTAACCCTAACCTAGAATTCCTAACAACTAAAACCAACAAAAATTTTAAAAGCTGTTGCAACATTTTGGTTAGAAGTCAATTTCACTTTTTCTCTTTTTCTCTCTCAAATCCCCCAAAGTTAGATGCATGCCAACACACCACCAAACACTTTTTTTTTTTCTTTTCTGTCTTCTGATAATGATATGTTAATAGGACAATTTACCAAGTTTAAAATGCTAGCTGTTGTTTTAGATGAATAATGGGTCATTATTATGCTGTTTGGGCTTATGTGAGTAATTAGCTAGGCTTTGTTTTCATGGAATAAACACCTCTATAAGTTTTCAACGTCATGATATACACCAAACAAAATAGTGGGGGTAACAACATTATTAAAAAAATTGTTTTAACAATGCTTAATGTCATTATAAAATAGTAATTTATCATTTTTAAAATTTTTTCATAACAAAAAAAAAGTTGTTATAAAATTATTGGTTTTATTTCCATTATTAAAAATATATGTAACGATTTTTATCATATCGAAAATCGTTGTAATAAATATTTATTGAATCAACTAATTGAAAATTCAATTTTATGAGAAAATTCCCAACAACTGCCTTGCTCATCTAATTTAGTTGCAGCTAATTATTAAGGAAAAAAAGAACATGTACCACCTACACCATTTAGCCATGTGTTTCCAGCCTAATCGAATAATGAATACTTTAAATGTGTGTTTCCAGAACTTGATATGTAGCTGATGATGGCGAATATATCACAGGTAAAATCGCCATTATTTGCCCTGCAATCATGGTCGATTGTGTATTGTCACATTCTCAGTTTGCATGTGGATGGCTAGCTCTTAATTAGGGTTTTTTTTTTTTTTTATTATTATTATTTTTGAGTGGCCACTTTTAGAGATCAACAAATACAAATGCCATGAGAGGATCGCTTTGCTTTTACTGCCATCCACTCGACCAACAACATAAATTTGAACCCATTAAAACATGTATACCAATCATGAATCACACCACACCCATGGCCATTATGCTTTGACTAAAATGTTAAAAGAGGAAATGTATGCACTTTATTTACTTCTTCAAACTTGATCATGGGTTCAAAATCCAAATCCATTTTTGAATATCCAGCTCAACATGGTTTTATCTAAAACACTCATAAAAAACCTTTTTCTAATGGAAAGTGAAAAAAATATATATATCATTTCCAAAGAGGTAATGAATCGTTTTGGGATCGATGGATGTAATCATGGCATATTTTGTCTTTGATGGGGCATGCGTTGCATATTTTATAAGCATCGTCGTTAAAACATGGGTTTGCAAAAGTTATTCTACAATATTGTGGCTGTTGATCAATTGTCAGATAAATGTTAATGGAAGTGTATTTGTCAAGAGTGAAGAGTTAATTATTCGTTTTAGATTTAACAATTTAAAATATAATATAATGATACAACACGAAAATGATATAAATAAAAAATACGAAAATAATATAATTTAAAATTTTAATTAAAATTATATTTTCGTGTTGACACGAACTGTAACACATTATTTTCATGTAAAACATAATATGAATATATAAATTATCAGTATTTTACATGACACAGAATACACAAATTGATATGTCTAATTCATTTAGCTTAATTTAATTGATTTATACAATTATTTTTTTAAGACAACATCTAATAATATGAATAATTCAAATTTTAACACTTACAAACTCTCACTCTATCCTTAGATTGCAACATCGTTAATTTAATTTTTAGCTAATTTGACTTTAAAATAAGCATTTTTATTTTTTGAATTTATTAAAAAGTGTTCATACATATTTCTTCTGGTACATATGATTTTGACATAAACGGTCCAAAGTATAACCGTTTTTATCCTATAAATTTCATCATTCAATTATATATATATATATATATACCAGAACATATAAATTGAATTAAAACCTCCCATTGTCAATTTATCTTTTTAATGATTGAATTATTTCAATTAATATCTTATTTATGAGTTTTCATAATCTAGTTTATTGTCCCTAACTTTTTATATATATTAATTTTTTAAAAATCCTTACAAATTTTACTATGGGCAATTGAAAAGCTCATATAGGCTCAGCCCAATTTAATTTACTGCAATAGTCCAATTAGTTGGGTGCATAAACAAATCGATCGAATATGGATCTATGTTATCTCGGTTCTGACTTTTGAGGAGGTTGAGAATTGGACCGGGCCAAGGCTTCGCTTGATATGATATTTGTAAAGTAAGGAAAAGTAATATATAAATATATTTTTAAAAGAATAACTAAATTTGAAATACCTATGAATTCAAAGAAATGGAATCTTATGACTTTTAAAGTTGTGAGATACTTGGAAGAAGTCAAAATTGTAGTAAGAATGAATTAATTAAAAATGTGACAATGCCCTTCGATGAATTGTTCAAAATTTAAGATTTTGATATTTTCCATGTCTTTTTCCTTTATATTATTTTTTTTCAAAGAAAAAAATACATCAAAATCTCTTATATTTTTTAATTTAAAATTTAATTTAATTAATTTATGTAATTATTTTAAAGAATAATATTTAATAAATTTCGAATATCAACATTTATTATTTTTTTAATTCTCAAGCTGCAACGTTTTATATAGCAAAAAATTTTTCTTATACTAAAAAAAAAAAAAAACCCTCTTCTCTTGTTGTTGGTGTGTTTCACACTTTACAATTTGACAACTTAATTGTAAAGTTCAAAATGTTGAATCTAAGTGCCACCGGGGCCCAAAGGAATTCCCATTTAACGTGTTTGATGACTGCTTGAAAAATAGTTTCTCCTTTAACTATATGACTTCCAATCTTTGACTGTGACCACACAAATTTCTTGTAAACTTCATGTTTTTTTTTAGTCCGTAGGATGTTATCTCAAAGAAGTTTCAATACTCGTTTCTTTTAACATAAAAAGTCAAATAACGAAATAAGTATTGTTTTTCTCACATTTTGTTTATTATTTTGGATTCTTTATAGGAATTTTCTTTTGTTCACTTTGCTATTAAGAAATTTTATTAGAAAAAATGAGTACCCTTCATAGTTGATTCATACTTACAATTCTTCCTAAAGTTTGAGATTAATGTTCATACACAAATTTTTTTTTAAAATAATTTTAATAATAAGATATTTCTATTAATATTATTCAAATAATTAAAGTTTTTAACCTTTCGTTTATATTTATGAGTTTAAAGAAATTTAAAATTATTATATATAATTAAATATAATAATTTTAAATATGATACAATGATATAATATAAAAATAATATAAAAATAATACTATTTAAAATTTTAATCAAAATTAGATATGAATTTAATATATTTAATATATTTGATACGAAACAAATGTATGTACAAATAATCTGAACTTTGTTGGCGTGGCGATTGCTCCGAGGATTGCACCCCATTTGACGGGGCCAAAGTTCACGTATCCAATTTCAACCCATGAAGGCCTTATAATTTCACTGAACCTTTTCTCGAACATCTCTAATTTGAAACTTACGGAGAACGAAACAGCTCCCCCAAACAAAGAAAAAGGCTATTCTCGGTTACTCACCGTCGGTATTCTCCAACCGACACAATGGGCCAATTCCCTTCCGCCGCTTTAGATAGGGAAAACTCCCACAGCGATCGCTTCAGGGTTTTATCCTCTTCTGGTTTTATTTCCGGCAATGAATTTTCTGATGAGATTTCGGATTACACCGCTGAGATTCCCGACGAGTGTTTGGCTTATGTTTTCCAATTCCTCCGCCCTGGCGATCGGAACCGGTGTTCTCTTGTCTGCAAGCGGTGGCTTCGCGTGGACGGTTGGAGCCGCCACCGTTTGTCTCTTAACGCTCAATCTGAGATCGTCACTTCTTTGCCTTCTCTCTTTACGCGCTTCGACTCGGTAACAAAACTCGCCCTACGTTGTAGCCGTAAATCAATCAGCTTAAACGATGACGCTTTGGTTATGATCTCAATCCGTTGCCAAAACCTCACACGGCTTAAGCTCCGCGGTTGCCGTGAAATTAGCGACAAAGGAATGTCGGCATTTGCTCAGAATTCTAAGAATCTAAGGAAACTTTCTTGTGGTTCTTGTATGTTTGGCACCAAAGCTTTGAACGCTGTCCTCGATTATTGCAAGAATTTAGAAGAGTTATCGGTGAAAAGGCTCAGAGGAATCCACGATGGAGCTGAGTGGATCGGGCCAGGAGCTGTGGCTTCTTCGCTGAAAATGATTTGCTTGAAGGAGCTCGTTAACGGTCAGTCTTTTGAACCGCTTGTGGTTGGATCAAAAAACCTTAAAACTTTGAAAATTATTCATTGTTTGGGTGATTGGGACAGAGTCCTTCAATTAATTGGAAATAGAAAGCGAAGCGGAGAAGAAAATTTGAATTTTAATAACAATAATAGCAATAGTAATAGTAATAGTAATAATAATCCTTTGATGGAAATCCACCTTGAGAGGCTTCAAGTGAGTGATATAGGCCTATCTGCTATTTCGAAATGTACCCAAATTGAGAATTTGCTTATTGTGAAAACCCCGGAGTGTTCGAATTATGGGCTTGTTTGTGTAGCTGAGCATTGTAAGTTGTTAAGGAAGCTTCATGTTGACGGATGGAGGACAAATAGGATTGGAGATGAGGGTTTGGTTGCTGTAGCCAAACACTGTCCTAATTTAGAAGAACTTGTTTTGATTGGTGTTAATGCTACCCATTTGAGCTTGGCGGCTATTGCTTCTAATTGTTCGAAACTTGAGAGATTAGCTCTTTGTGGAAGTGGAACTATTGGTAATACAGAGATTGAGTGCATTGCAGAAAAATGTATGGCGTTGAAGAAACTTTGTATCAAGGGATGTCCTATTTCGGATATCGCCATTGAAGCACTGGTTTCTGGTTGTCCCAGTTTAATGAAAATTAAGGTGAGGAAATGTAAAGGAGTGAGTAGTGGGGCTGGTGAATGGTTGCGTGAACAGAGGGGATCGATGGTGGTCAGTATGGATGACTGTGAGATAGATGGTGGTTTTGAGTCTAGTGTCGGTGACAGTGGAGTTCATGAAATTGGGGTGGAGTTTCCGCAGGCATTTGGCCGAGTAACTGGCGCAGATGCTCCGACAAGTAGCAATGGCAGGTTAGCAACGTTTAGGTCAAAGTTGGGGTTTTTTGCTGGTAGGAATTTAGTGGCATGCACATTCAGAAGATGGTCTAACAGTGATGATAGTTTCAATAGCAACTTGTGAATGATCTTTGTAAGAGTTGGAAAAATACTCTTGCTCTGATTACATTGTAACCTTGTGAGTTTGTGAGATGAATCACTTTTTTAATGCTTATTTGTATTTCAGTTTGGAAGTCAATAGAATTATCAAATCTGTTGATGGCCTTTCTAGAAAACAATGGTAGATGTGTTAATTTTTGTGTCACTGATAAGTTATTATCCTTTGTGAAATGAATCTATTCATAGATATGATAGCACAAAGAGCCATTGATACAACTTTCAAGGACCACAACAAAAAACAATAGCAATGATTCTAGTGGTATCTTTTATGAATGATCCATTTTTACAGCTGGATATGAGTTACTCCAACTGATCTCATTGTTCTTTTCTTTGGGTAACAAACAATCTGTTTGTCTTTTTTTTTGCATTCTTTCATTATTGTTTTTAGAATGTTGGGACGGTTCTATTGGAAGAATTCCAACCTATTTTTGTTCCTTTAATTGTTAATATCTGTCATTACTATTTTACTTGTGTGTTTGTATTTAGGGTGAATTCTCCATCCATACCTATTGCAGGAACGTTGAGTTCAATGTAACCATGTACCCCCAGCTTGGACTGGTAATTTCATCAATTCTTGGCCCATCTTATTTGAACTTTGAATAGTTCAAAATGCTTATGTTATTTGGTTTTGGAAATGGGGTGGGAATTTTGTGTTCCAATAGAAAATGTACCCTGGTGAATAAAGAATGAAATAAATGAAAGCAAAGAATACAATAAATCGAATTCAAAGTTTAGTCCAATTGATTCTTGCGGCTACCCTTAAAGAAGTTTAAATCTTAGTACTTATAACTATCTTATCTATTTTCATGCTGCGGCTTCTTTTGTAAAAAAAAAAAATACAATAAATCAAGTGTTTAATTAACCTATACTTATCTTAGTTTGTGAAGAACTGTTTGATGGACATTTCGCATTCGATCCCTTCTCTCAATAATGTTTTCACAGTTCACTCGCTTTCATAATCCTCTTCATCTCCAAAACTAAAGACTGAGGCATCAGCAGCAATTGCCTTGATACCGCTTGCACCCATTGAGTCCATACTGGGGATCTCAAGTCCGGAGGAAGGTTTGCCAACTTCATTAATGTTTGCATCTTTGGAAGCGTTGTTAGATGAAGGTGCTTGATTTTTGACCGATAGCTGATGAGTTCCATGCTTTGACATCCCCATTTGCTCAGTTGCAGGGTTAGATAGATGGCTGGAGACCGCAGGTCTGGTTCCAGCACCAGCTTGAGCCTGCCTACTCCTTGAAGACCCTGATTCCTCTCCATCGCTATCTGAGAATACATCATCATTGTCTTCGCTTCCAGAAGCTTTGCTTTGGTTTGAATTGGCTGTGATTCCACCCTTGGCATAACCCAAGTTAACTACGGTTCCTTTGTTGGCAGAATTAGCTTTAGAATTTGTCTCTTGTGTGCCATCATAGTCTATCATTACCAATTCAATCTTGAATCCAGGACAAGGCACATTTCTCTATAGATCAAAAGTAACGAGTCATTTGAAGGAAACTTATGAAATGAAAGGAAGAAGAGAAGCTTTTAGCGTACTCAAGAAATAAGGGTCTCTTACATGTCATTTACCTTATCAAAACCATCAAGATCAGAGGCTTCCAGTATTGTTCTGTTCTCTATCATTGTTGTATTTAACCAACTGAAAAGGAAAGGAAAAAAAAAAGTATCAGTTGTGCAGGACTATTATATGCATCTTAAAGAGATTATGTCACACTAAATACTTATGAAGAGAGCATATTCCTCGAGGCAAACAAGCAATTGCATTACAAACCGATTTATGATAGAATGCACAATCTCCCACTATTGAAACGATGAATTTGCTAACTATTGCTCATGAATGTGTTTTTTAAGATTAAATTGGTCAAAGAGTAAATTAATTCAATGCAAGATCTAAAAACTTCTGCGACAAAAGTGAGTCCGCTCTTCATTTTAATGGAGAAGAGAAAAGAGAAATAATGCAGACCAGTAGAAATCTCCTTGGCTGTCATGAAATTGGATTTTGAAGTCACCCGCCAATTCTGCAAGACCGGGCTCCCTGGGCAGAGCAAAAACCACTATCCCTTTCTTAGGTGCCTTAATCCAGAAATCTTGTGGCTGCCATTGCAAATGTGTTAGCAGAGTACTGACAGATTAACAGAAACAATTATAGCACTAACACAAAATCATATTGCTTTAAAAGATCAAATTCACCATTAAGTCCTTAGTTTTTGGATGCTTTCTTGTAGAGAACAAAGTGCCTGAGATGGGAAAAATTCAGCTGTTATTATATTTGCACATAATGCACTTTGAAGAAAATTATAAGATATGGAAATGAATCATCTTGTATATAACTTGGCAAAAACAGTGAAAGGAAAATATGCTGCCAATCCCATTGGACCAGGAAGATAAAACAGGTGCAATATGAAAGTGAATGGAAGGTTCAAGAGCAAAAATGAAAGAGATGGAATCTGACTTAAAATTGCTAAAAGAAAAAATGCAACATATTTAAGCTTCTATAGTAGGGAACTTGCAAGGTACATTAATTGCGATGGGCTAATGTCCCAGAGCATGGTACCATTAGGATCAACACCATGAAGGACTACATGAACATTAAAGCATACCACTGTGATTAGAGATAGTAATGGAGGGCCTAATCCAATAAGGACACTTGTGAAGCCGGAACCCCCTAAGCATGCACCTGTAAAACAATAACTTCAGTATATTATTAAGGGTAAATGTAACACAACTAAAACAGATATGGCACATACCTACGTCCAGGCTGATTTTCTCCATTGAAGTGTGTTAGGATACGCTCAAAGTATTTGACATATCTCTAAGCAAAGCAGGAAAAAGACTACCCATGAGAAGGATGCTAAAAATTATCAATCCCATAAAAGATCAAAATTTTCCATGGAAGGAATGACTGACAATCTGACTTGGGAGAACCAGAGCTTTCCCATCTATGCATCTTTTCTGGTTGAAGTAATCAACGGCCTCTTCGGCTGTCGGAAAGAACTGAAGAAAACAAAGTGATAATGCAATCATAAAACGAAAAAACAATGGAACCAAAAATAGCAACAAGTTTTGCTAAAAAACCGACAGATCTAAGGAGGAGATAATCAAATGCCACCTTAAGGAATAAAAGAAGACTGCAAATCATTAATCCTGTCCTTCCCATTCCAGCTTTACAGTGAACAACCACCACATTTTCAATGTCCTCCTTCAACCATGAGTATGCACTTTGACAAAAGGATTTTATGAGTTGAAGTGGGGGGCAATTGTGGTCATTAAATGGGAAACTTGCAACCTGTAAATATGTTGGATGTTAATCTAGGGGCAGCTGGAAAAATTAGCATAATCAAAACCGCAACGTAATAGAAGGTAGGCAAAAGAATCATTTAAGAAGTTCCAGAATTATGTTTATTGAACATTACAAGCAATCTCCAAAATGGTTCAAGATCTACTATACAACATGATTACAGAACCAAATAGCATCAAATAGCACAGACCACCACAATACAATTGGGTTTTAATGGGCAAATAGAGATGAAGAATAAACCTTCCCCTGAAATAGTGATGCATCGTATAACCTTTCTGAACAAAGATTGTACACTTTGTATCTCCCCTGCATACAAAATGTTGATATAAGATATGTGACAAAACAAGGAATTCAAAAAGCTTCAGAAATGTAAGATAAGGCATACCTACTTACAGACAACATACAAGCATATTTAATTCAAAAACTTAGAACAACTAGAAGTGTAGAATGTGCTAGCCTATTACCAGCTAGTAACAAAACTAAACTTTGACCTTACTTTCTAATACTGCAGAAAAAGAAATATAGAGAAAGGAAAGGGAATGATATTACTATTCAACTATTTTTCGATGACACTAGATATTTTGTTCGCACTACACTCCATCTTGCAACTTTGCCTCCTAACCTCAAACTTTAATGAGACAAAGACTGACTTCAATCTTTCACAGCTAAGATCTTAGTAACCAATACTAATGAGTAATGACACAGTAATACATTCTTCCAAACAGTGTGTGAACATCATATTATAGACAAAATTCAACAACTATAAATCACCTCTTCCTCCATGTGAATTCCGTAAATATTTAACTCATTATTATGTTACCTGAAACATACAAAATATTTCCAAATAGTTCCAAACTAATTTTACTGAAATCATATGCTTCTTTTTAAAGTTTATCCCATTACCCCTTTCAAAGACCTATTCACTAAACAGATAAAAGAGTCCTATGTTATGCATGCAACATCGTACCTTATGATGAGTTTCAAAAAACTCGATCACTTCTTCCATGTGATTTCGATAGAAGCCCTGCATCACATTTTAAGTGCATAAAACCATAAAGTGATCTTGGACACCAAATTTCAAGTGCAAACCAGATAAAACTTTTTACCTCAAAGAATCCCAAAAGCCCGAGCTTAGATCACCAGCAGGAAACCCCATAGCAATTATGTTCTCAGTGATATAAGTCATATCCAAATCAAACTCTCCCTCCTGCATATCATGCATTAAAAATCCTTTGAGCATTTAATTGGTTATATCTATGGTATCATATTAGATATATAAATCTAAAAGACAAGAAATTTCTCATAATGGTTAGGAAAACACAAAAAACGAAAAACTTACCAATTAGAATAAGAGCAGAAGAAACATTGCATATTAATATCTAAATTCAATATAACTGTATCTTCGTTTATCAGAACACAATTAGGCTACCTGGTATCTTCGTTTGTTTTGGGAGACAATATGGCGTGCTTTGACCTGCACAGCCTTCACTGCACTCCAAGATGAGTCAACTATACCCTTTTTAAATGATTCAAGAACAGCTTGTGTTGCTGTAGAGGTATGTTCTGCACTATCATCCCTTGGTAGAGTCATCGATTGCAGCCGCATTCCAAGGCCATTGGTAAAGCGTGCAAAAGCTGAAGTCCCAGCATTTCCAGCTTGAGTGTCCTGTGACGGAGCTATTGGCTGTGGTAATTTCAAATTTCTTGCCCAAGAAGATTTGCCAGTGGGGGATATCACAGATGGTGGGGAGTCATGAGAGGAAATAGTTTGCACAGTGATAGTAGGTGCATTATCACCAATATCATGAACTTTAACAGGAGGTTCAGTGTCGTTAGCCTTGGCATGACTTTTGATATCATTAGTATTAGCTGGTTGTTTAACATCAGAGGTGGCTTCGGTAGGTGTTTGAACATCAGAAGCTTTAGCCTGAAGTTGAAAGGAATCAACAGACTCTGAGTCCATTCTACCACTCAAATGTAACCCAAGTTCTACCAGTAATCTGAACAAAAGACAAAACTCTAAAATTATGAGTAAAATAGCATAATTAATCATCAACGAGCAACAATGCAGATTCAAGCAGTCAACCAAAAACTAATCCAAGAAAAAAGTATGCATTTCGTTTCTGAAAAAATAAAAATTTTAATTCTTTACACTCTCAACAAATTCTAAGGCAATGAAACCATCAAAATACCGCATTTTTGAACAGTTATCATTGGCTACTACTGCTAAAGATAACGCTTTTCAAGAACAACAATTCCAAAGCTTGAAAGCTAACAAATTTCAACTTCCACTACTTTTGCATTGCTCTTGAAATAAACGTCTCAGATTCAAAATGTCATTTTTTTGTTAATAAATCCAAGCAGCGGCACATCATAATTCGACAATGTATTGAAAATGCAATCAGATCTGGAAACAAAAAGCTTAAACTACTTTGAAGAAAATGTATGAATTTCACATTGCGAAATTAATCACGAGTAGCTGCATTTTGATTTTGAAAAAGAAAACTTTACCGAATTCGGATCCTGGAAATTCTATGTGCAAAATGTTGAAGACAAAGAGCGATTTCAGCTATTTGCTTGATTGGATTTGCCTGGTGTCCAAGCTCATGTCAGCAATCGAAATGTAAAAAAAAACAACCGGGTCTCGCGGGTCACGAATTAATTATCTGCTAATTTAGTAATTTTGCTCTCCAATAATCCGTGTAATAATGGGTTAGCGATTAACGAACAAAAGCTCCATCGTTTTCTTCGAACCGCGGCCCGACCAATGACGGGCCGGGTTTGGGCTTCTTAACGAGAAAAAAAAATCGAAAACAGATTAATGTTCGGTTTGATTTTTTTTATTTGATTTGAATTTTATTTAAATATTAAATATATATTAAATTTGAATAAAAAGTAAAAGTTTAAAAATTAAATCAAATTATATATTTTTATTAATATTGATATTTTTAAAATTTTTATAAAATAAAATAATTATTTAATATTTAAAACTATTTAAATATATTAAAATTTATATTAAAATAATATATAAAATTTTCAATTTAAATTTAAAAAATTATTGAACCCAATCAAACTAAATTGATAGAATTTAATTTGATTTAATTTAGATGATATAAAAATTTGATTCAATTTTAAAAATTTATAATTTATATATTATCTAAAAAATTCAAATTAAATTTAATCTGATTTTCGTCCCTAAATAATAATAAAACCATGAGCCGTTTAATCCAATTAGAATTAGATGCTTAATTTAATAAAGTTGTTAATTTTAAAGTAGATCCGGTGTACTCGAACCGGTTGATGACGTTGACCCGATAAAACCCATGTGCAGAAGCACGAGCCGAAAGTCAGAGCCTCCAGAAAACTTTGTAGTTTGTTATAGGAAGAAGACTATTTTTTTGAGGAAAAAAAGCACACTCACTCGAAAAAGAAGAAACTCGTTTCCCAAAAAAAGGAATAGGCTTTGTATTTTTTTGTGGGGCACTCCGATGGAGACCGGACCAACCGGCGGTGCCCTTGGCGGTGACGATCTATCTCCGTCGTCTCCTGCGACCGCCATATCGCGGTGGACCTTCGAGGTGTCGAGGCGGTACCAGCACGTCCTCGACAAGACGGTCCCGCACGTTCTCAACCGTTGGATCGGATGTCTGGCCGCGGTATTGATCTACGCCGTACGCGTGTACTTCGTGCAGGGGTTTCTACATCATCACCTATGGCCTCGGCATCTATTTGCTGAATCTCCTCATGGGATTCCTTTCTCCTCAGGTGGACCCCGAGATGCAGGACGGCCCCACGCTTCCCACCCTCGGCTCCGATGAGTTTCGCCCTTTCGTTCGCCGACTCCCCGAGTTCAAATTCTGGTTCGTCATCTCACTCTTTGTTTTAATGGGTTGTGATTCGATGAACTGATTGAGTGTAATTAAGATTAAAATTAAGTTATGTTTCATTGAGTTGAATCATGGGATAGAGGATAACTTGGCAGATCAAAGATCTTTTCTTTTTTCCTGTTAGTATTCCAAAATCCCTAATTTTAGGACAGTTTAGTTTAAAATTTGATTCGAACTCGGCATATTTATTTTTGAAGGTTAAATTAAGTTGAAAGGAAGCTTTAATGCATGAAAATTATAATGCCAGGGCATTATGAGGATGGGATGAATTAATGTTGAAGTATTTTGATCAATGCTGATTAATGAAGAGATCATATATCTTATTATGAAGGAAAAAAATTAAGAAATTTTTTTTTATAAAAGAAAATTTAGATGTTTGTTGCAAGCTTTTGGTGCCTTTTCTGAATCAAGTGTTCGAATTATAGCCACATTCTGAAATCTAAACTTTTCGAATTAGTAGTGTTTTTTTCCTTGCTCTTGAGTGCCCAATGTCCATGCAATGGAAGTTCATGGGAATGAGTAGAACTTCCTATCATTTCCTTCCATTTCCATGGTACATGTCAATTGGAGCTTATTATGTTAACATTGGCTTTATCACTTATTCTTTTGGATGGTGTCGCCGTGTAGAAACTAATGCCTTAAAGTGTTAGATATTATTGGAAAGTCTATATTGTGTTATAAAACTAATAGCAAAATTCAGTTTAGAGTCCAATTCGATTGCTTGACTTTGAGATCTCCTGAGGCCATATTACGTCTATATAAATTCTTTTTGAATTGAGGTGAAACAAAGATGGGGAGAAAGTAGCTTTTCTTTCTCTCTTCCAAATTTTTCTCTACTCTCTTGTTCTTAGCTTACAATGGTTCATAACACTTAATAATAAAATTGAAGGTACATGTGACTTACACAGGGTGCCATAAAACCTAGTTGCTTTAGCAAATTTATGCTCAGTGCTAACGTTTTCCTCTCTTTATGTTCTCCTTTCTGTGTGAAGGTACTCTATTACGAAGGCCTTCTGCATTGCTTTTGTGATGACGTTCTTCAGTGTGTTTGATGTGCCTGTCTTTTGGCCAATACTCCTTTTCTATTGGTTAATGTTATTTATCCTAACCATGAGGAAACAGATTCTACACATGATCAAATACAAATACGTTCCTTTCTCATTTGGGAAACAGGTATCCCTGAATCCATCTTCCTTTCTGACTGGCGGACAGGATATTTGGTGTCCTATTTTTCCATCGTGCTATCAATTGTGTGCTTGGTCATGCTAAATAAATATTATTCTTTCTTTTGTTAGCGATATGATGGCAAGAAGGCGTCTTCAACTGAAAGCATGAACGTCCCTAGGGATTAAATTCCTCGGGTAGCAAAAACTATATCACGTACTACAGTTTTATATTTGGGAGATTGTGTAATTTCCTCTTCTCTTTCCCCTGACATCATATTTGTGTTGACAGCTGAATTTCAGTCGGATTTGCTGGCGGTACAAGTTGTCTGGAACGATCATCAGTAGCACCTTGCATATTTATTCATTTTCTCCAGCGTTTTACTGGATTAGCTTTCAGATGTAGTGGAGAAGTTTAGCTTAGAGAATCCAAAGTTGTTGCCAAAGAATGCTTTGTATGGAAGGGACATGCAACATTTCTTGTTGCCTGTACCTTCATCCAATGACATGTATTTTACAGAAGATAATACCAATCAGGCAGTGCAGTTGCTTTACACTAAATTTCGTTTTGAATTGTACTTTTGAAGTTGAAATACCCCCTTATTCCAGTGGATTCTTTTTACCTCAGCAAGCTCCACAAAATTCTTGGGCTCTGAATATTAATCACAAATAAGACTTTTACAAAAGAACTGTGTTTATAAGAATGAGATTTGAGCTGAAGCATTGCCATTTGTCAACCTTTGGGGTTTCAGCTGTAACCCCTAAAAGGCATATTTTGCCAATTTTGATATGGTGCTTCTTCAGTGTACAAACTGCAAATGAAGATAGAAAAAAAACAATTACTTTCGAGCCACTGGTTTCGAAAATCTATATCATGTTAAACGTAAGATGCAAATTATTGAAGATGAAGAAACTATTTTTTATTTTAAAATAAAAAGATGAAGGAGCTATCATGGCTGATAATTCCATACTTAGCATTCAAACCAACAATAGCATTGCAGCATCCTTTTGTATTAACTGCATGCTGATACAAAGACATCCAGTGAACCATCACATTTTGCCTAAATAATAAGGTTTCTTAGCCCAATAATTGAAGAAATAAATGGAAATCATTGATGTATAAAAAATTATTCTCTTCATACAGCACAGAGAGATTGATAAGGTGGAGGAGGACCTTACTGAATTCAAGTATTTGGCCTGTAATATCCATAAGCTCCATAAAAGGTCTGAGTAAAAGTAAGCACCAGCAAGATGAAAGCAGCAAAAAGTGAGATGATGGCCCAAGGATTGTTGAAGTATCTGTGTTTCAAGGTTGCACGCCAAGCATTCCACCTATGATTGTAATATCTGTTCACATCTTCAGACAAATGGGAAAGATAACTGTTAGTGATATCAAAAACAACCTCTTGACAGAGGCGGTTGAAAAGGTCAGCCACTTCTGCATCACTCCCAAGCCAGTGCTCGATAATACCAAAGTAATGGAGGTATGCCACATCTTCATGTGAGTTGATCAAGTTATCCATGAATATCACATAGGAGGTAATATCATTGCTGCAATCAAGATGACATTGCTCAAATGCAATCAGATTGAGGAAAAGGGACTTGGTTCCATCATGAATCAAGAGGCGAGGAACGCGAAGAATCCCATTCTTAAACTTAATGTCCCAGAAGCGATCAGTCTTCCTTTTCTTGAACTTAATACCAGCCTCTCTGAGCTCTGATACACAATGAATTAATTGTTGTCTACGCTTATCAGCAACACGATTTGCATTTGACCTTTTCTTGAGCCACATTCTAGGTACAGGTTTGGGGCCAGAGCGTAAGAGACTTCTTCTGAAAACATCAAGGCAATGAAGGCCACCAAGATCAGAAAAAGGGTCGAAGGTGTTTGTATGCCCCATAGAGGATCCCAATCTGTTCATGTCACTCTTTGTTAATGGCTCATCCGTTGGCATTAAAGGGTCAAAGAATGTAATCGCTAACTTGGCAACCTTTCCCTTCTGGTCAGGCTCATTAAGTTGAATCCCCAGTAGCCTATCAAGAACAAAGAGTGGAAGCTGGTTCTCTAACATTATCATGTCTCTATGAATAGCATGCATCGAGCCACGCATTGCAAAAACTGGATCATTTCTACCATAGCCAAGATTTTGGAATCCTACAGCAGCCCCTTGAAAGAGCTCAAGCACAAAGCAGCCATCGAGGACCAACATTTCCACGAATTCATTGCTATTAAGAGTGATTGTTCCTTCATAACAGGCACGAGTTCTTTCTTCGAGTTCCTTCATTGAATCAAGATACAGCTGTATTTCCTGATTAGTACGGTTTAGGACACGGCGAAGAGAACGCCACTTGTGCTGATCCATCTGGCGAAGGCGTTTCTTGCCATGATGGTAAGGTCCCAGGGAGACAATTTGGGGAACATAAGCTTTGATATCACCTTCTCTTAGGTAGTGGGGAACTCTATAGATGCTCAACCTTTCCCATGAACCTGCTGCATCATCTTGGCGTGCCTGCTCGAGCTTTTCTCTGATGGAAATAATCCACTCAGACTCTGGTGAAGTGGCTGCCCCTTCAGAATTTTCACCATCCTCCTTGATCGCAACCTGCAGGGAATCAGATGGTACATGCTGTTGTTTCCGCAGCTGCTGTTCACTTTCTTCTGGCAGCTCAAGGGATTTGGTTGTACCTGTAGATGATCTGGGAATTCCAGATTCCACGGTTTCCCTGAGTTTGAGGGTGATTAGGTACCAACTCAGGAGCTCTTTATTGTATACAGCTACCATTTTAATTGACAAAAGCAATTCTGGGAATGATCTGGCTTGACAAAATGCCTCATAAATAAATTTGACTCATAAATGCACAAAGTTGTTAAATAGTAATAATTGCTATACAGTACAAGGGGGAATTATTTATTTGATGGTTTAATTGATTCGAGCTGAACCAGTTGTGTAACCCACATGGACCCCCCCCCCCCCGGTTTAGAATGATGACTTTTAGGTGTGATGTTTTGTTTTTGGTCAATAATCATTTGAACTCTCCTATTTTAATTGAAGATACAAATTTTATAAGATTTTCTCAGCCAACTTTGAAAATGTCTTGAAAGCGTGCAGCAACAGATTACTTGCAGGTTTATAGTATTTAAACCAAAGTAGTAGTATTAAAAAGGATGATGCAATTTGCTTAAGAAATTAATTATAGTTGGCTGGCCAATCTGACGGTTGTCCACCCCAGAAAGGTCCATTTGGGATTTTTAGCACATGGAAGAAATAAAAGATGTTGATATCAGTTTTAGTCATGTGATGTTGCACTCATGCTAGAAGGTGAGGTGAGGAGGAGGGACATCGGCAAGATGGAAACTTCAAAGATTGAATATAAAATTTGCCTTGACTTAACCATTTGAGGTTAAACTAGATAATATTTATGCATTCTGATGTCTTATCCATTTTAAAGAACTTAAAATGTTTGTCCAAGGTGAAATTATGTAGAAACACCAAGCATAGTAATTTTCCAGTGCTCTAAAATATAGCAGAGGTCACTAAGAAATTGATTAGGCACAGAGTAGGAACAGAATATCACCCCCAAGCAATTTGGCTGATTGTTTTCTACGTACATTAATCAATTATGCTTGGTTGGAAGGAAAAAGGAAGAATTTTTCAGATCAAATCCTGACTAAACCATCAGCAGATGAGAAATACTTGGAAAATAAAGATAAGACTTTGAAATGAAATTGCTTTAATCACAACAATATTAGTTTTCCAGTTGCTGTTTTGATAAATGAAAATATATGTACAAAAATGATAAATCCAAACAACATAAATGGCCTCCACTCCGATGCATAACTTAGACCAACAAGGAATAGGGAGGGAAATTTTGCAGCAAGCACCTTTATTGCACCAGTCACTCCTCGTCTTCTCCAATGGCCCAAAACATTAGCTGAGAACATTTTAACTTCCAAGAACTGCAAATTGCAGCAAAGATTTCAAGCACTGCTGATATTCTCAGTGCTTTCATTACTCCAGTAAGGTTTGATGGGGTTGGCCCCATTCTTAACTGGATAGAAAGCCTCCATCGCAATGCCACATTTTCCAGTATAGGCATCAACGTTAGTTTCCATTCTTATGTATCCATTTTCACCCCAGCTGCTGCCCAATTAATTCCTCAGAATCCAGTAGTCCTGACCATTAAAATTCACAAGTGAACACTCCCTGAAAATATGCAAACAATGACAAATGAATTAATAGAGCACTTAGATTTCTTTTAAAGACTATTGACAATTTGACATGTCTCCAAATTCAGAGAAAGATGATATCTTGCTGTCAGATAAATACTGTAGTATTATTCTAAAATCAAAATATGGCTTCAAGGATAAGTACTAATTGAAATAAAGGGTGGAGAAGAATAGGTCAGCTTACCGATTCGTAGAATTGGAAAGCTCTAACGCCAGCTTCAATGGCAACACTCACAGGTTGATGTGCCACAGCCTTCTCTAAAGCGTTCTCATCATGTTGAATAACATCCTCGTATCCATCAACGCTAACAACCTTAAAATTCTTCTGTTAGAAATCCAAAAAAAAAAAATCTATAACCATAAAAACCAACTGAACAGCAAGATTATTTTCTTAGAATTAAACTTTGGAAACTAACCCTCGTTGGATCACATTGGTTATCAATGCCAAGGTAAAGATAGTCTTGTTCAGTATCAATGCCAACATTGTCATTAACGGTTGTTGCAATGGGAGAGATATGTAAAGTGTTGTCGTGTTTCATGAAGAGAAAGGTTGAGGAGAGTGATTTTATGAAGAAAGGGGAGAGAGAGCTTTTATAAAGACCATGGAAATGGTTTAGTATTCAAGAGTGGAACATCATTGTACTGGGGAGGAGGGATTTTTTGGGGACCAGACAAAACTCAGAGAAATGGAAGTTAGAAGGCAGAAGACAGGCTTTGGGCCTCGTGGGTCGTTGGTAGTCACTAGAAAATAGGAAGACCGAAGGCCAGCCGAGTCCTTTGGAACTGGGATAAAGTTTTTAAATTGTTAAAACTTTATTAAAATCCGGAATTTTCTTTTCTTTTTGAAGTAATTACTAATGCAGGGTAGATTTAATTCTATTTACCAGATTGCATGAGGACAGTGCATAATTCTAACAGACAGAGTTTGCAAGTTACAAAACGTATAAACTCCGTGATCTGCTCTAATATTCATAGTTGTCTGTCTGCAATTGATCATAAGCTAGACTCCATATCCGTAACATGCTTTAATGTTCCTTTCTCAGCTTATGAAATTCAGTGCAACCTACTGGAATTGCTAAAATAAACATATTTCTCACTCGATCTTTTTGGCTCAATATGAGCATCCCAAGAGAATCATTTACTTAGTGGGAGATCTCTTCAGACTCCAAGTTTCAGAATCTACTCTACAAAAAAATTTGAAGCCCCAATCCCCTTTCGAAGGGGCAGTAAAATTGAATTCGTCCTTAAGGATCCTACAAAACTGAACTAAGGCAATTGCTAATTTTGACACAAGTGATACATTTGAGCTTCTTGAAATGAACAGATAGTTATGTTTTGGAACGGCCAAGAACTAAAAAGGATTCCATAGATCGTTAGTGCCATAGATAATAAAGATTCCCAGTGGCGTTGGGCATACATGGACTCTTCTTATCAGGGGAGATCGAAAAATTTTGGTCATTTTTGAGGATGTTCAAGGTTTTCATCATGTTCATGGAAAAGCTGGTATGTTAGACAATCACCAATGCGTTATGCCGTATGCGTTAGCAAGTTATTCGCCTGGAGCGTACTCTTCATAATTTTCACGTTTGTTTAGATTAAAAGGATGTAAGACCGGTGATAGGTCAATCTGATGTGTGTATTTCAGCTGATGAGCTAACTGCCAATGAAACAGAATACCAATCACCCCAACAAACTATAGATGGGACAAAAAGAAATGTAAAATATATATATAATAGTTGAAACTCAGGAGGAACTCAAAACAGATATGCATGTATAAACTTCCCTGCTGTGAGACATGCCTATCCTTATGTACCAACACATTATAAGACCATCTGCATTCCCCCCTTGTCAAGCAAATTTCTTGGCGCAGCAGTGTCAAATCCTCAAGGCATAGATTGCCAGCTAATGATTTTAGTTTTGTTCAGAATGCCTTGTCTAAACCTGTGAGTCTGTTCTTGTTTCATGCCTTCTTTTAACTTCGACGTTTTGATCTGGATGTTCGTGTCTTTGTAGAATGCTTCACTATGGGCTCTTCGATGCCCATCACTGGTATTTCATTAGCAGGGAGTTCAGGGGGAGCATCTGGCCATGGAGTGCGTTTTGATGGGACGGTGATTTCCAAAGGTGGGTCAATTATCCATCTGCATGATGCACAAAATAATTATCAGATGGCATGGAAGCCAGAGAAAATGAGTTGGAAACAAACTACACAAAACCAACTGTAGACCATGAAATGTGTAGCACGAATCAGTCTGATATCAATTATACTATGTAACCTTCTGCAAGACATCATTGTCAAAACCTAAATCATGTGACAAGGAAGAACTACATAATTTGGCAGAGTCATAGACCGCCACTTACTAATATTAATCATTCTGAACAGGCTGATATTGCCATTGATTACCATTAAAACCTAATACAATGAGAACAGGATAAGAGATTCACCTGGGAGGAAATTTGCTATCAGCACGAGCTTCAACTCGAAGCCACCAGAGCAAAACTTGACGTCCACAGTTTCCAAGTGGCTCCACCACCGAAGGGTCTTTAACCAAACCCAACGGACTCTCAATATCCCCAGCCAACATATCAATATCCTTAATCCATTCCGGCTTATCTCCACCATCTTTCCAAAGCAACCTAGAATTCAAAACAAAACCCGACCATTCCAACTTCCTAGGCAGCACAGTCACTCTATCATCAATATAAACAGCAATTTTCCCAGCAAAGGGCAATGTATTAAAAGTATGCCATCCTGCCAACATATTAGATGAGTCACAAGCTGGACCTTGAACCGGCATTCTAGAAGTCTCCTCTTCCTCCTTCTGATCCGCTGTCTCATCAGTATTAATCGAATTAGCAAGGATTCCAACTGAAAATGCCCCGAACCATTTCACATTTTGGATCTCATCAAAAAGTTCCATGCTATGCATATTACTATCATCAGCAAACATAACAATTCCATCCAATTTCTTCTCTCTTACAATTCTGGCCCCAAAATAACACAAAATTTGAATTAATTCTAAATTTCCAACAACCTAATTCCAAAACGCATCGTTTTTTCAATATAAATATCAATAAAAATAAAATAGAAGGATTACCTTAAAGCAAAAATGCGCATTTTGGACTCCAATTTATTTCGTTCGTCCCAAGAATTTGGCATCCGTTGATTGAATCCAACGTGGATAGTTTTCAAACCGGATTTCCCAATAAGCGACGCCGTTTCATTGCTGACCCCACCGGCTTCCACCACGATCCAAACCAGATCGTACGGAACCAGCATTAGCGAGTGCATTACACCGGTCAAATGCAGCGCTTGGAAAGTCCGTGCATATGTCGGCGTGATGACAATAACTGTTCTGGCATCCGTCACACCGAATTGTAATCTCTGCTCCTTTTGAACTCTTTCTATGATCCGGTGCGCCTTAATGACCTCAGTCGGGTTAGGGTGCGGCCACGGCCTGATCCGGATCCCGTGCCGCCCTACAACAACTCGCGAATTCGCCACCGTCTTGTTAAGCAACGGCAACTCGATGTTGGTAATGGAGTTGGTGGACAGAACGGAGTGGACATCAAAGGCATTGGCGAGTTCGGCAGTGGAACGAAAGGGCGACGCGTAGAAGTTAGTGGAAGAAGTGGAGAACAAAAAGAAGAACACCAAGCGAGAAAAGCGGAAGCCGAGGACTAAGCTGATTAAACAACAGAGACCGTGGAGGACAAGCCAGAAGATCGCAGCTGGAGATTTAACGGCGCTGTCGGAAGATGAATCCAACGGTCCTGATGATCTGAAGCTGTAGCTTCGACGGTTGAGGTAGCTCTGCTGCAATGCCGAAACCTTCATCTTTTCCCTCTCTCCCGAAGCTCATGCGCCAGACAGAAGAAGAAGAAGAAAGTTATGGAAATATAAAATAAATTCTTTTTTTTTGTACGTTCATTTGGTGGGGAAAGTGGAGTTTAAGAGTTGATTAATGAAAGGATTTCATGATTACTTTGGGATTACGGTTGAATCGATTTTGGGTTATTGTCAGTTTGATGCGTTTGATTTGGTGCTACCGCAATCTTCTTCTGTTCTTTCTCCTTTTTGAAAGGGAGAGAAAGACATTAGCCCATGATTTAAGGACCATTTACAAATGTGGAAAGCATACTTTCTTCTCCTAAATTTGCTGAATCGATAATTACTTTACTATGATTAAAACAAGAACCCATAACTATAACTTCAGAATTTTAATAAATGTAACTGCTCATATACGTAAATTGGATAAAAAAATTAATTGAGATATTAAGTATTTGAAAATTATTTATTATTTCCTGGTAGATTTCAAAATTATTTGGATTTAAGTTTGTTTTTGGTTTTGAAGTACATAGCACATGTATTTATGACTAAGATTTTAACCATTACCAAGATCCAATTGTTCATTGTCGTACATTTATTGGATAATTTTGTTGAAATATATATATGAGATATTAACAAAACTACAAGTTATTATTAACTATTGATGCTTATATTAAAAATTTTAATTCATTGAGGACACGAGTGAACGCACAATAAATTTGAACAATATATATTAGAAGCGAGAAAAAATTTAAAAATTGATTCAAAATTATAATATTTAATTTAGTTTGGATTATTTTTTTTAATTCGGTTCAAATAAAATTTTGATATTAGATGTGTATATTATGTTTGAATTTAAGTTAATATTGAAAATTAAAAAACTAAAAAAAAAGAATCAAATTATATATTTTTATTAATTTTTATATTTTTTTTAAATTTTTATAAAATAAAAAAAATTATTTTATACCTAAATCTATTTTAAAAATATTAAAATAATATATAAAAATAAAAAATTTAAAATTTAAAAAATCATTGAATCGAATCAAATCGATAAAATTTAATTCAGATCAAATTAAATCGTATATAAATTTGGTTTGAATTTAAATTAAATTTTTTAACCTCATAATTTTATATATTATAAAAAAAATCGAATTAAATCTAATCTGATTCAAATTATTATCGCTTTTAAATTTATACAAATCATCTAAATTAATATTCATGGCTTTTAAATTAATATTTAATTGATAAAAAGACTATTTTTAGATTTTTTTTTCTTTTATATTTTTAATAACAAAAAAGTTGCCACGTAAAGAAATTCTACCTAATATTGATAACAACGAGTCAGCTATGTTTCCCAATTATAAGGAAGTTTAAGATTAAATCAAACACCGAATTTGGCTTTAGCTTGATTAATTAGTTGACAGTAAATTTAAAGGTTATTGCTTTCTCATTTTCCTTTCATTGTCATTTGTACTTTTTTTTTTTTCTCTTCTTCCAAACACAGTGAAAATAACAATGACACACCAACTTGAAAAGAAAAGCATCCCTATTATTATTATTTTGGGGGGAGAATTTGGAAGTTGCGGCATAACTTTTTTGCTGATTCATCAACATAAAAATATTCCCATACGACTTGAATTATTTGAACCACTATTCCTCAATCAAACTTAAAAGCTGTGGAATCTGTAGATGTTACAACACAATCACAAGCATAAAATAATTATTTGAATATTGTTTACATTTTTCACTCTCATAATTTGTTGGCAACACTCCAAACAATTATTATGCCATTAGTTAAAAAAAATTATTGTTTTTATAATAATAACATACTCCTTTCGTCTCAAAACATTTATTATATATTGATATTCACAAAATTTTTTATCTTAAAGTATTTAATATTAAATTTTATTTTTTTTAATTAAATTTTTATAATTTTTAATGTCAAAAAATTAAAAAAAATTAAAAAAAATAAGACATAATTTTGAAACATTTCTAAAAAAATGAAAAAAAAAAAAAAGAGACAGAGGGAGCAATTATTATATTTGTTTTTATAAATAAAAATATGTTTAGTATAAGCATCTAATTTAAGCATCAAGTCAACATTAATTAATTATTCTTTTTTTTTAGGTATAATAATCACAAAGTCTTAAATTTAAATTTAAAACCTCGTTTTCAAAAATAAGATCATGCAATGAGATTATTGTCTTGTTTTATTATTATTATTATTATTATTATTATTATTATTATTATTATTATTATTTAAAATGTGACTCTTCAAGAAAATGGGCAAAAACAAATGCGGTTTGAAAAGGGGAAGAGTGCGAAAGAGAGAACTGGTTTGGTGGGGTGGTTAGGTCGATTAGCTTTCGTATCACCCGACTGAAAAAAAGTGGTGAGTTTCCTTTATATTGTGGCAAGCTGTCTTGAATTGTATCGATTTCATGAACGCAAATTTATTTATATTCAGCATGTTCCTCGTTGTAACCTATAAATAACGTACTAAACTCTCCAACAAATTATAGGTGAATTTGATTTTTAAATTTACTTTAATATATCAATTTATAATTTAATTTAATTAATTTAAAAAATTATTTTTAAATATAACATCTAACATATTAAAATTCAAATCTCATTATATATAATTTTTTTCATTATTTTCATCCCGTGAATTTTTTTTATACCCAAAAATAATATTGTATATGAATATATTGGAAACTAATATTTTGTTGGATGAAATCATAAATATTTTTTTATTAGGATTTAAATCTACTAATTGTCTAGGAATCTTAACGTCTTAGTGTACATTTAAGAATAAATGGTTTCTTAACCTTCTATATATACTTTACATAAACTAGATGCGATACTAAACATGATTTAAAGAAAATTATCAAATATTTTATGAGGTTGAATGTCATTTTTAATGCATAAAATTTTTCACCCGTTTACATAAAATTTTGATCTTATATGTTTTCAAATTTTTATTATAATTTATAAACATTTTTATACTTTTACTTAAATCCTTAGAATAAATATAGGTATATAATACATGATTTGAATGTAATATTTTAATTTACATAATACTATATTTTATTTTATTCTCTAATTTTGATTAAATATGTTAATGAATAAAGTATAGAATGGATAAAATATTCTTCATTTTCATCTACAATTTTTTATATTATACTCATCTTCCTATGTATTTTAAATTTATCTTCATTCACATTATCACAGATATTTAATAAGTATGAATAATTTTGTACTCATAACTTTTTAAAAAATAAAAAAAAATTTTTTAATTTTTATCTTGCAAATTTATGTATTTTTAAAATATATATTTTTAAAAAGAAAGTATATCTTTAAAAATATATTACTTCTAATTAATATAATTTTTAAACTAACGTTTTCAATAGTTATTTTTTCTTCTTACAAAAGTTTATCTCGCTATCATTGTTATTTTTGCATCTAAACATATATCTTATTATTGATTTTAATCTTTATCACTACAACAATTAATCTCAAATCTACAATTGTTTTTTAAATTTTTAGTTCTAATAATCAATTATAAAAAAAAAAATCCCCTTTCCAACAAATAACAATTAGGGAAAGTATTTTGATCCATATCCTACGGGTTTTGACCTGACTGGTTTCTTAGGATTATTTTTTATTTTAAATATGATATCGAGTTGGGTGATAAAAAAGTTGAGGTCAGGTTTTCTTAAAACCTAATCCTATCCGACCCGATATATATAAAATATTTTTTAATTAATTAATTATATTTAATTTTATATTTATATATAAAATAATATTTTATATCTAAAAATAATATTTTATTTATTTTGGGTTCAGTAAGATCAGATACAATTTTATATAATATCGAGTCAGATTGAATTTAGATATAAAAATAAATTTTTTAAAAAAATCAAATTTGGTCTGATTTGAATATTATATATATATATATATATAATATAATCATGTCAGGTTGTGACGAGGTAAATAAAATTCCACTCCGATCAGATCCATTGCCATCCATAATAATAATATCACATTAAGACCTTTTTGGGCCATTTATTATCACATTAAGGCTTAAACTAGATTGTTTTGTAAAAATTCAGAAACATCGAATACTGGATCATTAAAATTTATAGGAGGCCCAAAAGAAGCCCAATTGTTAGTTATATTAACATGCCAAACTAAAAAACCTACCATGTTCACAGGGTTGAGTTTCTAACCCCAATTACGGCAAAAATTCAAGTAATTATCGCTTCAAATTTGCTTCTAATAAAACAATTGCCTATTGCCCTATTCTTCTCAAGCCATGGAGCAGGTTTACTATTATCTTCAATAGCCATTTTCAATAACTCCTCTTTGCTTCAAATTTAACAAGAATGCAAGAAATAATATATATTATTGGTTTCCATTTGCAACATATTATGATAAGGGAATTTTTTTTTTATATACAAAAAAGTCGCTATTTGGGGTTAAACAAAGAAATTGTAAAGATATTAGTATTTGAATTTTAAATTTATTAAATATTATTTTTTAAAAATAATTATGTAAATCAATTGAGTTAAAATTTAAATTCATTATAAAATTTTTTTTCTAGTTTTGCTTGAATTGAAAGGAACTAAATTGCTTCTTTTCACACCAATGACAAAATTTTTAGTCACGAAAGTACGAAGTGTCCAAACTATACTAGTATTTGCTTTTGGGTCTTATTTGAAATTTCAAACTAACATGATAAGTTTTTAAATTAAAATAGTAATAAAAAAATTTTCACATCTATTAAATTGAAAGTAATTTAAGTATATAAATAAAATAAAGATCACTTCATTTATTATCAATTAATTTTAAATTAAATATTCAGATTAAAATTTAATATTTTAAATATTTGATGCTCACAAATGTAGTAGAATACTATGCGCATACAAATAGAGCAATATAATTCTTCATGACCAACGCTAACAACCACGCTAGAATTTGCATGATAGAGTAGAGATGTTATCAATAACATTCACATGAAAAGAAAAAAAATCGTGTAAGAGAGAAAATGCTCGAAAATTCAATTACATGATATCAGGCGGCCAAGTCGAGCACGCCTCCTCTCCTCTGCTTCAACTCAATTTCGTTTCAGTTGCCTTTCCGTCTTTGACTTATGGACTCTGCTTCGTACGTAGTCAAGTCAGGTTCATGGCAATTGCTGCCGTCCTTTTTCTTTTTCTTTTACTTTTTCCTATCCAACACGTGCCTTTATAAAGCGTGAAAAATTATCTTCAATCACGGAGAAGCTTCCTTTACCATCATCATATAAAAATATCCTAAATGCTATGGAAGTGACAAATTTGATGATAAAATGAACGATAAAAAAGATTTTTATCATATCGAAATTATCATTTTGTCACTAAAGTTTTAAAAATCTCTTTCATCGTCTATGAAAAATGAAGGATGAAACATTGAAATTATGTGATAGATCAGGGCTCTAATTTGTTTGAAGACTTGAAATATTGAGTCAATGAAGTGTAAATTGGGTAAAAGTAATTTACTATTTTGATTTTTCAAGGCCTGGGGACGAGGGGAAACGAAAGCTTAGAATGGCCGCAATGGCGCACCAGCCTGGTCTGAGTGTGAAGTTTGAATGAAGAGAGATCAAAGACGTCGCCATCTTTGCATGTGAAATACTATTTTATATCAAGTGATGATCCCTTCCCTTCACGCATGAAAATGCAAGTAACTTTTTTTTATTTTCATTTTTGGGCACGTTTTTAATTTAAAATTGATTGATTTAAATTAATGCGAATCTTTTTATAAACTACATTCACACATTCAAGCTTTTTGGTGTGGTAAACTTGTCTAATGGAAGACCTAAGTTTCACTTACCTAAGACACCCAAATATCATTTTTGATGGTAACGTTAATGTTTTTTTTTTTTTTAAATAATAATAATAAAACATGCTATTAATTTAAAATCGATTGATTTGAATTAATACAAAATCTCCTATAAATTAAACTCACACACCCATCGTGGGAAGCTGTAAGTAACATTGAGGAAAAAATATAAAGTAATATTTATATATGTCGGATTGGTCTCTCTTTTATTAAATTTTTTCTTCAATTCAATTGGTTTATAATATCACGTCATTACTTTTAAGAGAAGTAAATGACATCTAATAAATTTAAAATTTAATATCTATAATTTTTTTATATATTGCTATCACTTTTATTAAAAAATATTATTTGTTAAAAAATGCTTTGTTTGGTTTTGAAATTTCTTGTGATCAAAGTCTAAGTTCCATTTGGAATTGAAGAAGAAAATTTAAATTAGAATTTTATTTTTGTTGAAAATGCCATTGGGAATATCAAGATCAAGGAATAATTGTTTTCAAAGACTTGCCAATAACTCTAGAAAAAAAATAAAAAAATCCATTCACTTATGAGAAATTTTCACCAAAATCTTGCCCATAATTTTATTTCTCGAGAAATTCAACTCTAAAAAAAAAACTTGAAATTTGAATGTTAACCTTTATTATCTGCATCCCCTAACCATAACACAATTGAAAAAAAAAAGTCAAAAATTAGAAAAAATTTTCTCTACTACTAAAATTTTTGACAAAAATATTCACTTATATTATCACAAATTGACACATATTTTTGAATAAATCAAAAATCAAAAATTATTTATATCATTTTATTTTTAATTAATTTTTATGTATCTTTTAATTTAATTTAAAATTATAAAAATTTTAATCATAAATTAGTTTTTTTAAGTTTAATAATAATTAATTTTAATGCGCATTAATCGGTTTTAAGTACTCTTTTCAGTTAATAATGGATTAGAGGATTTTTTTTCCCTATCAAATTTGCCCAAAATCTTAAATTTTTTTTTGAGAGATATGAAATTTGTATCATGCTGGCAACAACTTTCTTGTTAATCTGCTATAATAAATTATCTATATATTATTTTAGTAAAACCATATATTATAGTTATTATGGATCAGAGACGGTTTAGGACAAAGATTTGCCTCGATCTTCACCCGTGTCCCAACCTCCCTTAGACCAATTTAACCTGTATGGACCCCACTAATCAGATCAAAACATTGAGATTCTATTCGGACGATGAAATTGAATATAATGAGATTAAAAATAATTATTATTATTATTATTATAATTGTGATTAAAATAATTTTAATAAAAATTTATGTTAATTTAATTTTATTAAAATTAATATTTAAATTTAATTACATCGTATTAAAATTATGATTGAATCCAAATGAGCATTAAGTTAATATCTTCTATATCTAAATTATTAGCCAAAATCTAGATTATTAAAAAGAAGAAATTTGAGAAAAAGGTTGTGAAAAATACAATTTTTTGAGAGTGTAAAAAACTTAAATATAAATATAAATTTTATTATATTTATAATTTATTTATAAATACAAACAAATAAAAATTAAATTTATTCATGAATTATCGGTAAAAAATGTATTATTTTTTCAATAAATAAGCTATGCTTACTATAGCCTACTTACTAAACAATTTTTTGACGTGGTTGGATCTTATTCGTAGCTACAATAAAAGGCCAATGTTAAGATAACATGTCAGTCATCCAATTGATCAATAGGGTTCCATAGCCGATGGCATCATTTTGACCAAATTCCAGGGTCCCTTTATCAAAGACCCTTCTCTAGTTTTTCCTTTTTTTCTCCCTTTTGAGTGGTTTTGTTGCAGACATGGCCGTGGAGCTTATGATGAGTCACAGGAACAGAAACAGCTTCACAGTCAAAATGGAAGAAAACGCAGTCCAAAAAGCAGCTTCTGGGATTGAAAGCGTTGAAAAACTCGTCAAATTATTTTCTCAGACTCAACGGCAACTAAATGATAATAGTAATCAAGAAAAATATCAGTCTTCTCCAATCTCAACAAGATCGTTCCTGGATTTAGAAATGGACTGCAAAGCTGAAGCAGACGTTGCTGTTTCGAAGTTCAAGAAAGCTATCTCTCTTCTGGGTCGAACCAGAACTGGACATGCTCGTTTCCGAAGAGCTCCTGTAACAGTACCCCCTACTGGTACAAACACAACTATTTCTCCTCCAGGTAACCAAAACCAAGCGAATCAAGAGCATGAAACTAAGGTTCATTACGCAACGCCGATCCAGCAGTTTCCACCAGCGGTTACGTGTCATCCTCATCATCATGATTTTTTGACGATGACAAATGGGGGTTTAGAGAGGAAAGATTCATCAACAACCATTAATTTTTCATGTTATTCTGCTGGGAATTCGTTTATGTCATCCTTGACAGGGGATACTGATAGCAAGCAGCCATCTTCATCATCTGCGTTTCAAATTACTAATCGTTCTCTGGTTTCCTCGGCTGGGAAGCCTCCTTTGTCTTCTTCTTCTTTAAAGAGAAAGTGTAACTCTGAGAACTTGGGTTCTGGCAAGTGTAGTGGCACTTCCGGTCGCTGCCATTGCTCGAAGAAAAGGTACACATCCATTTATGTATTTATCTTCCTTTTACAAAATATCAATTTAATTTCTTAATTATATTTGTTGTTTCAAAATTTTCCCTTTGACAGAAAGCTGAGATTGAAAAGGGTTGTAAGGGTTCCAGCAATAAGCCTGAAGATGTCTGATATTCCACCAGATGACTACTCATGGAGGAAGTACGGTCAAAAACCAATCAAGGGTTCTCCACATCCAAGGTATTTTTGGGTGCATAGATTAACTTTGAATGTGCACTAGTTGTCAACTATAGTTTTCTTTCTAACTTGTTTTTATTTTTGACTGGCGTTGAATTATGATTGAACAGGGGTTACTATAAGTGCAGCAGCTTGAGAGGATGTCCAGCTCGCAAACATGTGGAAAAAGCTTTAGATGATCCATCAATGCTAATAGTTACCTATGCAGGCGAGCATAACCATTCTCCCTCTGTTGCAGAAACCACCAAGCACATCCTGGAACCTTCCTAAACGAAGAACATTCCACTAATTCAACAAAATCCCTGATTCAGTTTCATCCCCACTTCTCAACATGTGACTATGTGTAGGATGAACAGTTTGCAGCAAAAAAGTAGCACTATTATCAATCTGCTCGAGCTAATCTCGAAGGATATTATTAGTGGGTTCGTTCATCCTTCCCGTTTCTTCAACCATTAGAAGAAAGAAAGGGAATGGTGGATTTGGTATTTTAGATTTTAGAATTATAAAAGAAAGAAAATGCTGTTCAATCTCATTCCAATTTCCATGCCATCTTTTGTTTGCTTTGATCTTTTCTTTTGGTTCTCGTTTCTAGATATTCCTATTCTTTACTTTAATTTTCTATTTCTTACGTCTGTGAAGCAAATTTTCTCGATTTAAACAGTAATAAAGGCAAAAAAGAAAGTAAAAGAAAAGGACTCGGTCAAACAATTGGAAAGATGAGGGCAATAATTCATGTTAGGAACGGCTGACTATTAATAGGGGATAGAATATTGAATATTTAATTTTAATGATTAAAGTTTAAATTTGAGTAGTTTTAAGTAAAAGAAATTAAAAGTGTTGGGTATAAATTTTAGGTTTTTGTTAATTAGTATTCTAGAGCACTTTTAAACGGTATTTTAAAGGTAAATTAATATTTTATTTTTAATAATAAATTTTATTTATATAATAATTAATAATATTATTGATGATTTTGATTTATTAGGTGCATATACTATTTTATACACTAATTTAAAATATTTTTAAATCACTGACTTTTAAAGTTTCAATTTTAATAAATTTCAAATTTAGAAAAAATTTTAAATGCTCATTGTATTTTGAAAAATTATTTTATCCCTTTAGGTCATATTTTATATATAAAAATATAATAGGACAAGATAAGTGATATTATAAATAGAATTAGATTACATAATGTAATTATATTTTATATTTGATATGAGTAAAGATTAAAATAGAATAATTTATTTATTAGTTAAAATTATATTTTCTAAAAGTTTATATAATTTAAATTATTGATATAGTTTTTAAAAGTATAATAAGATATATATAAGTTCAATCCTATGAATTAAAAATAACCATCTCAATTTGTTGATGATTAAATTATCCTATAGCAAAAGAATGATAATTTTTCTTATAATTCTATCTTTTTTTTAGATATAAGTTAAATAGAATATAAAATGATTATCATTCTATCATATCTATCATTTTATACATCAAATATTATCTTAGAGTTTTTATACTTAACATACGAAGTTAGCAAGATAATACATATCCTTTAGATATATTAAAAATAATAATAATTAAAAAATAAAATATGCTGTGAATCTTTTAATTTATTTAAGAAATTAAAAAAAATCAACGTTAAAGTATAAAAAACGAACTCATTTATTTTTAATGGGTTTGTTTGGATTGTGAGAAAAAAGGTTGGCTGCATTTAGAGACAAGGATGGTTAGTCTTGAAGAGATTGTGAATGTCCCTATAATGACAAAAGGAAATTGGGGGAAATCAAAATGAGTGGGTGGAGAATTGATAAGTTTCTTGCCTTTAGGAGGGACCTTACTTTTTTTTTTTTTTTTACAATTTTGTTTATTTGCTTGCTTTGCCTTTCTTCAACGTCAACCTCCTCCATTATCCATTATTTGGATTGGTAATTTAATCCGTTTTTTATGGATTTTTGATTTGACCTAATTTGATTTTTTTGGGTCTAATTTTTTTTTTAAATCAAATTTTGAATCAGATAATAAAAAGTTGAGATTGGATCCTAAAACCCAACTTGATTATATATATTATTTTTAATTATTTATTTAATTTTATATTTATTGATATTTATTTAATTTTATATTTATATTAAAAAATAATATTTTATATTTCAAAAAAATATTTTATTAATTTTGAGTTAGATTCGAAACGAAAAAATCTGATCCGTTGTCATTTCTATTCATTATTATCAATTTTATCATTGTATTTAAAAATTTACAACAATATTTCAAACTCTCCCTCCCTACTAAAATAAAATTGAAAAACAGGATAATTTACTACCATGTCAAAGTGGAATTGTTTGACTCTCTCAACTTTTTAAAGTTGAACCCAATCATTTATAGTAAATGGGAAAAAAACTTTAGCATATAGTAAGGTAGTTTTATCATTAAATCTTTAAACATTTAAAGAAATAATAATAAAATGATATGATTATGCGATAAATTTTTTAATTATTTAATTGAAACATTAATAGGCAAAGATCCATTTTAATGCACTTGTTAATAAAACTTAATTTAATAAATTTTAATGTATTGAAAAATTTTATTTCATAAGATAATTTTAAAAAATACTCGCATTAAACTAAGTAACAAAAACCCTTCATTAATTACAAATTTTTTTATTAAAATATTACCTTCACCAATGCTAACATTTTTTAAAATTGTATAATTTTTTTTTTTGTCCTTTTCTGTAGCTCAACAGTGAAAAGCTTAGCTACAAAGAAATCATCAAATCAGCAAAGCTTTTTCTTTGGTCAAATCCTAGTTGTAAATGAAGTGTAAAGTTTCGATGGAATGTCTTCTTTTCATTCAAAGCCTATCAATGAGTCTCGACCCACCTTCCTTTGTCAATTCATTCAAGCTTGTCTTTTGCTTCCTTCTAATTTTTCTTTTAAGGAAAGTGGTTGCACACTTGCTCTAAGCTTAGTTTGAAAACAATGTTTGAAGATAATTTGTGAACACAATGGGATTCCAACGGGGATTGATCCTGTGCGTCCGTTGTTGAAATGACACGAAACATAAGCTACAAGACACAGATTTTGTTGGTTTTTTTTTTCAAATCTTCATGTTTACATGTTGGTTTCTCATTATCAAGTTTAATTTAACAAAATCATGCTATTTTACCTGATCTCTCATTTTCCAATTAAAGATCCAGAAAGTTTAGACTCAAGCCTCTGATCAATTCAAAATAGGGACCCGAAGAAATTATAGATTGGGCAGGTTTCAACTCCAAAAAACCCCACCTTAAACCCCAAAACAGTAAAACCCAATAGCACAATCTTTCAGCTTTAAGCCTTTTAGCCTTCAGCTCTTCTCCGAACAATCCTAGGCATTGGTGGCGATGGATTCCTTCTCCACCTCCATCGCTGACCAATGAACAGACCCAAGCCCCTACTTTTCTCTCTCTTCCCTAACCCCATATCACTCATGGCCCTGACACAAACCCAAACCCGAAACATCCACTCGGGTCCGCTCCTAAACGACGCCAGCAATGAGGACGACCTACTTTGCTTCAATCAACAACAGGACCAAGAGGAACAGTCTTCCTCTGCACTAGATGAAACGCTGCTGTCGATAGGTTCTCCGGGGAAGCATGGACTCATTGGACCAAGCTTGGCCGGCGAAGTTAATAATTGCCCCTGATGGTTGACAACTCGGAGCTGCCGTTTCGAATGCTATATAGAAAGTACGGAGCCAAGGCTGTCTATACGCCCATGTTACATTCACGTATTTTTACAGAGAATGAAAAGTACCGTAACCAAGAATTTACCACTTGCAAGGTAATTTTTTCATTCATCTGTTGAAAGAAGATTTCTGGGCTGATTTTTCTTCCTTTTTTTTTTCTGAACTATTTTGAATTGATTGATTGCAGGAGGACCGTCCATTATTTGTCCTATTTTATGCTAATGATCCTGATGTTTTACTTGAAGCTGCAAGGAGACGAACCTTATTGTGATTATCTGGACACTAATTTGGGGTAAATTTTATTTCTTTTGAATTCATTTAAACCATTGGACACTAATTTGGCGACACAGACGCCATATGTCGGAGAAGTATTGATAACTTGATGTAGAGATGACTCATATAAACCATTGGACAATATCTGCAGTTTCACCAAACTTGTTAGTATGATAAAATAGACACAACATAGAAGAAATATAGACATTGAACTCACTTTTAGCATGGTGTTAATGTACCTTCAACATATCACCAATGTTACAAACAACCGGATTGGTTTCTCACCTGCATAACTTATTTAGATTTAACTGTTGTCAAAAAATAATGCGGCAGGATTTAAAACTCTAGGAATTCGGTAAAAAATTGTTAAGTGTTGGAATTTGAATCACAAACCTTTGGATTCATTTTTTAAGGTGGTTGGTTAAACTCTAGGTTCAAGGAATGTAACTTTAAATATATAGAAACTGTTATATATGAGTATTTTCAAAACTTTTATATGTATAATATGCTCTAATTTTAAAATACTTTTGAGATTTTTCAATTTTATCCATGTAATATTATTTAGAAGATTGAAACTCTTTCAAATTATATATAGAAACAGTAATAGTAGTAGCATTTGACATTAGACAGTCATTTATAAGAGTGAATGACCTGAACAAAATCTTCTAGTGAAAACAATATAAGTAGATTTTCCCTTTTTTTCCAGTATACTCTTTCAAATTGCAATTGTCATTTTTCTGTATCTTCTTCCCATAGTCAATCTGGCTATCAATTCCATTGGCTAGCTTCAACGCATTGGTGTTTCTTCATTTGAGTCCTCTTTCTTGTACTTGCCATCATTTGATATGGGTGATCACCAGGGCCTACTTCACTTTCTTTTTAGTTAGAACTCTTGAAATCCAAGCAATGTGGAAACCTTAAAATGAAAGTCCTTCGCTTCATTAACCGATAAAACTTATTTATGGTTGTTCAAAATTTGATTGTTAGTGCTCATTTGCTCTGACATTAACCAAAAAATGAACAGAAGGAGAAGAATTTTAAAATGATGACAATTTGAAGTCCTGGAACTTTTGATTCAATGAACTTACAATTCCATTGCAAAAAAATATTATTTTTTACATACATCCCACCCCCAAGAAAAAGGTCGATCTAGACAAATTTCAAATGATGATAAATAACCCATATTCACCTCTCTTTATACCATTTTTGACCCCTTGGGACTGTATTTAATCATCTGCATGAACTCGATATGTAATAACTAGGAAGATGAAGCTTTGCTGCGAATAGCTAGGAAGATGAAGCTTCTGTTGATGTATTGTTCTTGTTGCGACAGTACTGGAAGCTGTTCTCTTCCATTCTTTCCACCACGAAATGGGCAAGCATCTCATTGTGTTCCACCAAGTTTTCCCTGCACAAAAACTCATCCCCAGACATCTGCTCCACATCTCTGTAGTAATCATGAACAAATATGTGAGTCTTGGCGTTTCCCCCTTTCTTGCTTCTTGCTAGCACTCCGGATGTGAAGATTGGCTGCATCCTTCCAGGGCCTTCAGGTCCATCCCCTCTTGGCCCATCAATCAATATCACATCCCAATCGACTTCGTAAACATGGTTTGGCAAATCATTGATTCCAAGCTTGCAATCTGAGAACAACAGGTTTTGGACTGGCCTACATTCATTTCGAATCTGTTCCTTGGCAGATGATATAAGCTCTCTCGTTTCACTTATCTTGGTCGTGTATTGGACGTCAAAGGCATCGATTTCGGGATGTAACTCTTCGAAATAAGCAGCGTAATACCGGTTTTCATCGATGAAGACCGTGCGGCCATTGTGGTTCAATGCCTCCCAGAGAAGGGTTTCTTGTGTTAAGCCAAAAACAAGGAAATTGCAAGGCGAGGAACACTTCCGTAGGACATCAGAGATTGACTTGAGCTCGGAGTGTGTCATGTGAAAACTGTCATTGGATTTCGAAGCATAATGGAGAAGGGTGTTGATGACAGTGGTTGGCAATGGCGCACCACCAAAACTAGAGACAGAAGAGCTAGGGCCTCTCATGGTTGTCCTTGTGGCTGTCGTTTTACCGGTAATTGACTCTCTGGTGTATATAAGAGTGAGAAGGAAAGCAATGGTAAAGAAGGAAATTAAGGCAAGGAGCCATAACCTGTTAGAGCTTCCTTGTTTTTGGATATAGGGATGGAGGAGGATTAGCTTGGTATTGCTGTTCTTCATTTCTTTTCCTTTTTTTTCCTTGAAAAAAAGACCCTTTTCACCTCCTCTCTTTTTGACTCCTGAGAGAATCAGAGAAAAATGGGGTTTGATTTAAAGAAAGGTTGAAGCAAATAGAAGATTAGCCAACATGAAATGACATTACAGACAACCTAATAATAATCTATAAACCAAATTAAATAAAATGAAAAAGAATTGAAGTATTTTTTTCCCCTTTTTTTAGTTGGTTAATGCAGATCTTCTTGGGTAAATCTGATTATTTTTGTTGAAGAAAGGTGAAAAAGGCTGATTCAAAATTTGATGTGGTCTGAAAGCAGAGAAAAACAGGGTAGTTGGAGCAGGGGAGGAGCTGGTTGGGGGAAGGTTGCGGGGACCCAATAACTAATTACAAGCCAAAAGTCGCTTTTCCTTCATCAATTACAGGTTTATTTCTCACGTAACCTTTTTAAATGTATACGATTTCTTAAATAATTAGTTACCGTTGAATGTAACAATTCACCTGCTGCAGATTCCCATTGGCAGAAACACAGCCTTAGTGTTACTTCAAATTTGCATATTTATGAACAAAATTAAGTGGATTTTTTTTACTGCTTCTTCCTTCAACACAAAAAATGATGCTGGATTTTTATATTCCTTTACATTAACAGATGTCCGATTTATAGTTATATGAACAAAATCTAGCCCAAATCTTTTATGATAAATCCAGCTGATCTGTTAAGGCAATAGAGTCAATGTTAAGATGCCAAGTAATTAAGTCCAATAGGAAATTTGGATTTGCAGAAAAGTTCAAGGGATAAATGGGAGTTTGATTTTGGAGTAGATAGGATTTCAGTCATAAAACAACACTTGTGTTTGGCCTGGTAATATAAAATATAATATATTAATACAACACAAAAATAATGTATAAAAATAATACGATTAAAAATTTTAACATATGGGTTTGATAAATTTTAAAATATATATTTTATATTTTGTATTAATATAAATTATGATAAATAATTTTTATTTAAAATACAATATAAATATATAAATTATTAATATTTTAAATAACATAAATATATTAAAGTAAGAAGTCTCTCTCACCAAACGTCCAAAAACCTTTGCTCTTAATTTAATCTTGTTTTCAAAATTACACTCCACACCCCACCAACCCAAGCTGCAGACAAGCTAGAAACCAAACCAAACCAAACCACCCCACCCACCAAAACGACCACGTTTCTTCCCATTTCTTATTCATCAATCAGCTTGTACATGTAATATTTCATTTGCAGAGGTCTATTCGAAATATGCTATGTTTATTTGTCAACACTAAAATCACTGGCTCAACTGCTAGAACAGCTTCCCTCGGAGGACTAACGTCATTGATTGGCAATCGAACGTTTCAAACTAGTTAAGAGGCTAGAATGCGGGTTAACAAATAAACAAACCAGGTGCTCAATCCTTACAGTGCCCCAAAAATGAGACAGGTAATGTCAGCCATTTACATTGACGTTTATCAACTTTTTTTTTTTCTTTTGGATTGCAAAGACAAAAGATCAAGCTCTAAACAAATCAGTAGTGTGAGCTGTGGTAACACTAACATAAAGCTTGCTTGACGATCGTTTTCAAGAAATATAATGAACAGATTCTAACGACAACAAAGACAAATCCCTTGTGCTTTTAGCTAAAACACGAGAAATGTTAAGTTGGGGAATGAGGAGACTGTAAAGGCATTTGTGGTATGGCCCAATTACCTCCACTGAATTCCCATGCAAAACCAACACTGGCATGACAGCATCGATCTTCCCTCGTTGAAATGGAGCAAGGGGTGAAAGGTTAAAAGAGAAAACAAGCCAGGGGAAATTAAAGCGCTTAACAGGCACATGTTTCAAGTGGATTTGCTTATAAAGATGGGGAAGATGGGATGGGATTTTCAAAAAGGTAAGATATCCTATGAATGATGAACATTAATGAAATATATAACTAGTGATTTTTCAAAAAAAAAAAGACCCACTATGAATTTGTGATTCACCCAACTTTTTTAACAGTTGGTGGAGACAAAATCGAGGTTGCAGAAGCATGAGTTTTAAATGTTTTCAATCATTTATTTTTATAATTCAGAAAGGTTTCCTGTCAATACTTTACTCAAGTTTGTTTATATTTTACTCTTTTGGGGAGTTTGACATGTTTTTTTTTTAAATTTACTTTCCATTTGTGGGCACCATGCCATCATCAAGTGTGATTAAAGACATAATTTTTTAGACCTGCAAAGCAAGCCTTCGCCCTTTAAGAAGCGGGTTCCAAGCAAGCCTTCACCCTTTTAAGAAGCCGGTTCCTAATTGGTATGTAAAACCGTTTTGAAAGTAATTGATTCAATTAGTTAATATTCGATTGTTTTTTTAAATGTAAGGATTTTATATCTAAATCCTACAGGTGATTGATGTTAAAATCATTTTAAATATATAATTTATAATAATTTATTTTAAATTATCAAATATGACACATTTTATTTTGATTTCGAGATCGAATAACTTATTTTTGAATTTTATCTTACTAATATATATATATATAATATATATATATATAAAGCCATTTGAAAGTATTTTTGCCTCTTTATTTGATTAACATTTCAAATAATACATTTAAGTGATTTGGTGGTAAAAACTTAGAAACATTAATTTTTAAAAAATTAAAAAAAAATTCAAAAGTAACTTACCAGTTATCACTTTCCAATTTGCATGCTCTTTCAAAGGGCGTATGACCTCTTAAATACAATTTTTTAGTTACAAATAGTATAACTTAAACTGCAATGTTTTTACATGCACGTGTCATGGGCCGTGCTCTTTTGTGTATTAATCAAATGCAAAAATGAAGGATGTGTTTGATAAATAAGATTATAATAAAATAAAATAAAATAATATTATAAATATGATTAGATTAAATAATATCATTTTATATTATGTTTGATGTGTATAAAAATTAAGATAAGATAATTTATTTATTAATTAAAATTATTTTTTCTTAAAATTTATATAATTTAAATTATTATTTTAATTTTTAAAGGTGTAATAAGATATGTAAATTCAATATTATTGATTAAAAATAATCATGTTCACTTTAAGATGATCGAATAATTCTATACTAAGAAGATGATTAATTCTCCTTGTAATCTTATCCTATTCTTTAGATATAAACCAAACATAATATAAAATAATTATTATCTTATCTTATATACTATCAATTATTTTATGTATCAAATATGAACTAAATTCTTTAAATTAAAGCAATTAATCCTTTCTTCCAACAACACTTCCATGTGCCAAACAGCTTAACTATGGAATTTATGCCACTACCAAACAAAGGTTAAGTTTGTATTAAACTTTTGGGGAAGGAAAAAAAAGACTAGGGTTTCTTAACTTTGTGAAATTTCTTCAATTAAAAATAATTCATTTTTCTTGCACCATAAAAACAAGCTATGATAGAGAATTTGATCAACAAGAACTGAAATAAGAAAGATCTCATGATGTCATATTGACATAATAATAATAATAATTTGGTAAGTTGTAAGTACTAATTACAAACAAAATGGATAATTTCACCTAAAAAAAAAAAAAGAACACAAGTACCATTTAATTTTACAAGGAAAAGGCCTACATATGAATTCATACATTGACATTTAATTGAATAAAAAGACTTTTAATTGCATTTTCCTTGTGTTTGATATTTTCTATGCTCCTTTAACTAGTTTTTTATTTTTTTTTCTAAACATAGTTGTCTTATATATACATCATTCAATTAACAATAGTTTAAATAATTAAAGATGTTAAATGAATTAATTAGCTGAAATTCAAAGACATAGTCACATGTAGTACTTTTTTTTATAGACACATAGTTTTACTTAAAATACGAGGTGAAAGCATTTAAAAATGCTACCAATATTATATCCAAAGGGATATATATATATATATATATTATTTTTTTTTTCATTTTTACAACACAATCAATTACATTATTAAGAACGCATGCTCATGTATATACATATATAGTTTATTTTTTATTTTATTTTTATAAAAAGAAAAAAGAAAAATGATAAAATATTTTTATTTTTTAAATTTCATGTAAACATTTATTATAGATTATAAATCAAAGTTTATAGCTAGGGTTCTATTTATAATGATGTCAATCCAAGTAACGAGTACCAAAAATAATAGAAGCATAGAACTTGGACTTAAATTTTGCGTAAAGCTTAAAAATAAATAATGCCTCATTATTGCATTTGCAAGGGGTAAATTGATAGTCGAAAATGATGTAAAATTATTCAATAAAAACAAATAATAATAATTCATCCACTTTGTCCGCATCATGAATCTCAGCTTAGTTGGCTCTCTCATTGAATTGGACTGACAAAGTGTGAAATTTGAAATTAAGCTTGAGTTAAAATTTATTATTTGAAATTTAATTCAAATTTAATTAAATTTTAATTTTTAAATTTGATTTTGATTCGAAATAAAAATTAAATTATTTAAATTTATTTGATTAAATTTATTTATCAAATAAAAATTTTTAATTTTTATACTCAATTTCAAATTCGATAATTTTTATTCGAATTTGATTTAATATATATACAAAATAATAAATTTTTAATTACAATAATAAAAAATTTTAAATTATAAAAATTTAATTAGACTTATAAATTATTTAAATTAATTATTTTAATATTTAAATTTAACTCATTTAATAAATTAAACTACTTAAATTTAAATTTGAATAGATCATAATTAAAATAAATTTAAATTTTATTTAAATTAAAATCAAATAATTTACTAAGATGTATCATTTACCCTAATTGTTGCGGACCGTTGGACATCACGGGCTAAGGCTAACCAATCCGAAAGCTGATATGTTTGATTAACGTTTGACTTCATCCAGACTCAATCAAAAGACCCAAATATTTGTCTTTGGTCGGGTCATCACACCGACTTTTCAGGCAATCAGAATATGCCTACGCAACTCAAACGGACGCGTGACTGATGGTAATCCTCTAATTAATTTCGCTGATTTTTGTTTTTAAATTATATGTTTAAATATTTTAAAATACGCATCTTCAAGAATCTCATCACAATAATATCATTTGAAGTAAAATACACAGTTGACTACTCTTTTATTTTTTGTTGATTTATTTTCTAGATCATATATTTATTATACATTAAAATTAAGCTTACATAAATGGAATTTTAGTACATAGAGTCCATATAGTATCGAATGTTTTTATAATTGTTTAAATATATATTTTTTTCATTCGATTTTTTACTTTTGAATATACAAAAAAACTTTTTTACATTTTAAAATACTACTATTAATAAAATATCAAATATTAATAAAAAAATATATGTATATAAATGGGTCCCTACTCCCCATCACCACTGTGACTGTTGGCACTACTCTCTTTTCTTTATTTCATTATTGTTTTGATATGTTAATATTAGGAGTATTGGTTTGATTGATTAGGTTAATTTTAAATTAAATTATTTAAAATTAAATTAATTAATTTTATTTTAATTAATCGAATTAAATTTATTAATTTTAAAAATTAATTAATCAAAATTAATTTGATTAATTGAATAATAAAATATATTAAATTAAATTAAAATTTTAATTTTTAATGTATTATATTTAAAATAAATTAAATGAAGTCATCTATCAAAAATATTTCAAATGCTAAAATATTAAGTTAAAGCATTTAATAACTTAAAATAAAATTAATAATTTTATATATTTTTAGTTATATATATAAATTTTATTCTATTTTGGTTAAAAAAATTTTTAAATTGTTTTTAATAATAAAATTAATTTAATTTAATAATAAATTAATTAATAAAATTTAATTAATTAATTAATTAAATTAAAACCAAATTATCAACTACCCTAATTAATATACACAAAAAGAATAATTTGAAAGTTTAAAAAAATGAAATGAAGTTGTATACAGGCGCTGTTGAGTGGGGTAGCTAAGGTTAGAAGTAGAACAATAATTCCACGAACATAAAAAATTTCTCCATGATCATTCCCCACCTTCACGTGACTCTTCTCTGATTTCCCCAGTAGCCCAAATACAGGAGAAGGCACAAAAACTTCAAAAACAAAAGACAGAAGAAATATGAGAAAATAAACCCAAATCGGAAACAAACACCATGCGCAAAATCAACTCCAAAGCTTTGCTTCCTCTCTTTTTCTTCTTCTTCTTCTTCTTCTTCTTCACCTGCTTTTCTAACCCTATAACTTACCCTCCACAAACGAACTTATTCTTCCCCTCCGACGCCGTTTCCATCCTCTCTTTCAAGTCCAAAGCGGACCTCGACAACAAACTCCTTTACTCCCTCAACGAGCGCTTCGACTACTGCCAATGGCGGGGCGTTAAATGTGCTCAAGGCCGTGTCATCAGCTACATCATCCAGAATTCTGGTTTACGTGGCATTTTTCCCGCCAACTCCCTCACTCGCCTCGACCAGCTTCGTCTTCTCAATCTCCACAACAACTCGCTGTATGGTCCCATCCCCGACTTTTCCTCTCTTTACAACCTTAAATCCCTGTTTTTGGACCGTAACAATTTTTCTGGAACTTTCCCTCCTTCGATCTTGTTTCTGCGTAGAATAACTTCCCTCGATCTTTCTTACAATGATTTAACTGGTCCGATTCCGGCTAACTTAACCTCCTTGGACCGGTTAAACATCCTTCGCCTCGAGTGGAACCAGTTTAATGGAACTGTACCGCCCTTAAACCAATCATTTCTACTCGTTTTCAACGTTTCTCGTAATAATCTTACCGGACAAATACCGGTCACCCCAACTTTATCGAAGTTCAATGTTACGGCGTTCTCGTTGAACCCTAATTTATGTGGGGAGATTATCAATAAATCCTGCACTTCACGTGCTCCGTTTTTCGGTTCTCCCTCGGCATCGGGTCCACATGGGCAAAGCGCGGGGGCCCAAGGTGGGGGCGGCGCCACCACCGGAGGAATTGTAATTCTGCCACCGCCATCTTCACCGAAAAAGAAGCGCCAGAAAACTGGGGTGGTCTTAGGGTTTACTATCAGCATTGCTTTGATAATATTTTCAGTTTTGTTAGCTTTAGCTGTGTTTAGAAAACAAAGCGGTGAAAGGAGAGTAGACTCAAAAGAAACAAAGCCAACAACTGCAGTTTCATCACAGGTAGCGAACTCAAACCTAGGAAACTCAAAAACCCAATTGAAAGAATTTTCTGAGAGAAAATTAATGACACCCGAAATTCAAATGCTGAAAAAGAGTGGGAATTTAGTGTTTGTTGCTGGTGAGGTTGAAGGTTACAGTTTAGAGCAGTTAATGAGAGCTGCGGCTGAGTTATTAGGGAGGGGTACGATGGGAACCACGTATAAGGCAGTGGTTGATGGGCAGTTGATTTTGACGGTGAAGAGATTGGATGCTGGCAGAACGGCGGTAACCAGCGCTGAAGTGTTTGAGCAGCATATGGATGCGGTTGGAGGGCTGAGACATCCCAATTTGGTGCCGGTTAGAGCTTATTTTCAAGCTCAAGGAGAAAGGCTTGTGATCTATGATTATCAACCCAATGGAAGCGTTTTCAACCTCGTTCATGGTATGATTTTATTTTATTTTTTTTGAGTTTTGGTTCTGGGTTTACTCAGAGCCATGGCCGAGTTTATGGCATTTGAGTTACATTCACTTGAGTTGCGGCTGTAGGGTTTAACATGAATAACAGGGAACCAAAGTGGGGCCTTTGTTCCTGATTTTGATGTTTGATTATTGGGGGGGTGGGGGGGTGGGGTAATATTCTGGACCCATCAACCATTGGATTCTGGATGAGTTATGCTGAAGTTATGGCAAAAAAGTAGAGAAAGTTCTGTGAAAAATTGGTTCACTTTTAGAACATTTAGTGTCCTGAAACCGACAATGAAATTTGACCATTGTAGATTTCAGCTATAGTATATTTGAATCTGTTACTAATTATTGGAAGGGTGGGTTAAATTTTTATGCTAAGGAATAAGGATAGGGATACAAAGTTAGAACTTAACAAAGTATGTTGCATCAGTACTTAACAAAGTTTAAATTAATGTTGCATTGAAGTTTTGGATCAATTCATTGCTTATAATTGACGCGAGATTATGAACAGGTTCAAGATCAACAAGGGCAAAGCCTCTTCATTGGACATCATGTTTAAAGATAGCAGAAGATGTTGCCCAGGGCCTTGCTTACATCCACCAAGCATCGAGGCTTGTCCATGGCAACTTGAAATCCTCCAACGTGCTCCTTGGTACTGATTTCGAAGCCTGTCTCACCGACTACTGCCTTACCGTCCTTGCAGACTCTTCTTCTACTGAAGATCCTGATTCTGCAGCCTATAGAGCTCCTGAGATTCGAAAATCCTGCCGCAGACTTACTCCCAAGTCTGATGTTTATGCTTTTGGTGTCTTTCTGCTGGAGCTTTTGACGGGTAAACTTCCATCCCAACATCCTGTGCTTGTGCCCCATGACATGCTTGAATGGGTTAGAACGATGCGAGAAGATGATGGTGGGGAATATCACCGGCTTGGAATGCTAACCGAAGTTGCCAGCGTTTGTAGCTTGACATCACCAGAGCAGAGGCCGGGGATGTGGCAAGTGTTAAAGATGGTGCAGGGGATCAAGGAGAGTGCAATGATGGAGGATATATAGTGTATCCTTTGGATATTCATAACAACAGGACGCATCCAACATATTTTTGATACATGCAAAGAGGGAAGCAAATTGGAATATAATTATTGTGTGGTGTTTCAAGCTTTAGCTTAGAAATTTATTCAAGCTCGTGTATATGACGAGCCGATGTCATCTATTACACGTGAGATAGATCATATGATGTTAAGAAAGGCTTTAATTATTAGCAAGTTTTCATCTCAGCTTTTCTATGAGCTCAAGTACTAACTCTCATAACTCACCACTCACTTTTACCCATCAAATGGTGAGGAGCAATACATATCAAAGACTTATGCTTTCATTTGGAGACATGGTGAGAGGGCAGTGACTCTCACCGGTCATCACGTCGTCATTTATGGCTAGTGGAGAGGGATTCCCAAAGGCTATCATATTGTTTCATCACTAGATATCCAAATGAACAAATGAAGAAACATTGTTAGGCTATCAGAACCAGAAATTAAGCACTTAAATCTATATAGTACTTACAAAGTGCAATCATCTTACGCAGAAGAGAAAGTTATGTCTAAGTTCGAAGGCTGCTCCCATCATCTGCACAACTAGCACTTTGATCAGCCTATTGTCAATGCAGCATGATGGCAAAGAGTGGTGCATAAATTTTCCAGTGGATGTTATTTGAAAGGAAAGGATATAAGATTATTTGAAACACTAACTTGTCTAATGCTTAAATCTGGACAGTCGTAAATGAATTAGCAGTTAGATTATTTGTTAGAGTTGTGGCAGCTACAATGTAAAGTCTGGAATCAGACTTTCAGTTCTGGCTTGCTTCCTGCCCGAAGAACAGTCCCCGAGCCTCGGTTATGAATTCTGGAGTCCTGCCAAGATAAAAAAATAATAATAATAATAACGTAAATATATACACAAAAAATAACAATTTGAAATGTCAATCATACACAAAAAGAAAAAAGAAACTTTGGCAGAGGAATTTTCATTTTCATGATAAGGAAATAAACAATAAAACAGAAGACTACAAATACTGAAGCATCATATCTTAAAATAACCACGATTAGTCAGCGATCAGCCACTTTCCAGCACATTCAAGGCCTACCAGCCTGACAACATGCTTCAATGTAATGATTTACCCCCAAAAAATCTTGAAATTCAAAACAGTAGCTAAGGTCACAAGAACTTGGTGTTTACCTGTTTAGACATCTCGGCTAAGACTATGGCACGCATCAACCTCTTCTTCCCTATTTACAGCATGCCTGCATTTGTGGAAGGAAAAAGAATTACACAAGAAATGCGAATTTTCAATTTAGCATGGACTTCATTTGTCTCTAAATCAGATTGGCTAAACAACTAAAGGGCACCAACAAAATTACAAGTTTTGGAAATGGAATTTTAGCATTTGGAAAATATATTTTTAAAAAATGGTTAAATTATTTACGTTAATCCTTAATTCAAAAGTTTTAAATTTAGGATAAAAACAAATTTTTTTAATGAATTAAGTTTATGAGTATTTAATATTTATAAGAAGCCAATGACTCTTTAAAAAAATAATAAAGAAGTCAATGAGATCTTAGTATAGGAAGTAAAAAACTCCAAACTGCTCCTACAAATGTAGAATGATGATTTTAGTATAGGATAATATTTTTTTTATTTTGTCTAGGCAATTACACATAAAAAATTATATTTATTTTTGTTATTTTTTTTTTTCCAAATAAATTGGCGATATGGGAAATAATTGACATTATCAGGTGATACAGGAAATAAATTGATCAAATTTCACTTTACTACTTGATGAAGAATTTCGAAGTATTTTGATTCTATGTAGCAAGAGCTAGCACTTTGTTTTTGTTGTTGGTGATAACCATCATGGAAAAAATATAATAATAATAATAATAATAATTTATTAATATAAATTATAATACATAATTTTTATATAAAATATAATATAATATATAAATTATTAATATTTTATATAATATAAATATACGAATTATTAAACTTACATGTAATTATTCGTATAATCATAAATTTTCAATTAGCATGTAGCTTAGGAATAATTATCTTTTCGTTAAAAGTGAAGATTTAAATGAATATAAATAAAAATATAGAGATTTATTTTGAGATAACCAAAGTACAAGGACTCACTTTAAGAAAAGCGCGAAAAAATAGAGGCTTTGCAATTTTTTAATAAAAAATACTAATTACAAGAGGAGTTGGAGTCATAAAACAGTCTTGGGCTTTAATGGACTAATAATGGGCCAAAGCTCCAGTCGGAGCCTCATAATTGAAGGCACGTGACTGGCGACGAGGTGAGGAACGTGGATCCCATGATAAGTATAATGGCGTGGATTTCACGCTAGAATGCAAAACCGCAATTGATTGACTTTTTAAGGACAGAATTTAATATTTTATTATACAAATCCAAAACATAAAAGGTACACGGTACCTTCGGATTGGGACCCACGTTGTTTATTCCATCTCCCCTCCTGATCAATTCTCGACCGTACGTTTGTCAACTCTGAAAAACCAAACGACTCTCCTCTTCCTCAAGGACACAACCGGAATAATAAAAGTATAAAAAATAAAATTGGATTGGTGCTATCTCCTAACTTTTTCTCTTCACGTTTTATTATTAACATATAATTTTTTATTTAATATAGTTCAAATTCAAAATTAACTTTATAAAAAATTCAAACACTTCATTTTTTTTTTCAATCGAAAATTTAAAATATTTTAAATTCTAATCAAGTTAAATTAAAAAAAAATTTAATTATTAAAAATAAAAAACATAAAATAAAAAATAAATTATTCATTTTTAATTTTTTAATTTGGTATTTAATTTTATAAAATTTTATGTTTAAATATTTAAATATGATTCGAAATTTCAAAATAAATTTCTAAAAATTTTTTAAATATTCATTTTTGAAAATCTAAAATTTTTAAAAATGTATCTCCGAAAATCTAATATTTTCAAAAATAAATTTCCTGACCCTTTAATAATTTTCGAGATTTTTGAAATGAGATATGAAAAATAAAAATATAATTAATAAATAAATATTTAAATAATTTTATTAAAAATTAAAAATTTTAAATATATTTAAAAAATTTAAAAAATTGGATGCAAATGGCGGTACTAATAAAATTATTATATTTAGAGGACGAAGAAAAACCGAAAACGAGAAGTCAAATTGCATCACACTTTCCAATTTTCCACTCCTCGTCTTTCTTTCTTTATTATAAAAATAAAAATTAGAAAATAAAAAACCGATTATTTAAGAAAGAGAAAGGGATCAGTGAGAGTTTTCGAGAGAGAAAGAGGGAGTGAGAGAGAGATGTCGGGAGGAATAGCGCGTGGTCGACTCGCCGAGGAACGGAAGGCATGGAGGAAGAACCATCCTCATGTCCGTACAGTTGCTTTCTTGTTCTTTTTAGGGTTTCAAAGTTTAATGTTTTTAGTATTATTATTCGTCTGCTTATCCTATTGCTGTAAATATTAGGGTTTTGTTGCGAAGCCAGAGACTTTGCCTGATGGAACGGTGAATTTGATGGTGTGGCATTGCACCATCCCTGGTAAAGCAGGGGTAAGTCTAAGATTCTATTTAACTCCTGTAATATTTTTTCATCGCTTTGGATAATTTTTGTTGTTGTTGATTAAGTTCAACGGATTATGTTTATTGAGAGGGATTGCCTATTATTTTCAGTGTTATTTATTTGGTACGTGGATACTGTTATGTTGTTTAACTGTTAAGATTTTGGTTTGGGTTGTTTCATTTAGGTTAAATTAGGCAGTAATTTGAAAAAAAAAATAGAGATGGAGCTGAATTTATGTAATTGAAACCTAAGTTTTGTGTGATTTAGTTGGGTAGAAGATGGACTGCGAAGATATTGATGATTCTGAAAAATTGATTGATAGGAGTATTGCTTTCTATTGTGGAGTGTATGGTTTATGTATGGTTTTTATGTGTAGCTAGCATTTCCAATGCCAAAAAAAGTTAAAAGAAGCTTTTTCAATATTTTGAGGATTTGATATGAACTATTGTGTAATGAATCCAGTATACACTATTCCTGTTCTGTTTTCTCGAAAACTTTCAGAAAAATGACCATTGATGGGAAGCTGGTGGACATTGAAGTCCATATGCTGATGGTGAAAGCTGATATGGTTTTTTTTGTACATGAGAAGTGGAAAGAACAATAGCTTTTAGGCTTTTATGAAAGCAAGCTTTTGTTGTATTTAAGCAATCTTTTATGTCAGGTTGGTAGGTTAATACTTCTAGATATTTTATAAAGGTGAGGCTTACATGATTTATCAATAGTGTTGTGAACAACAACGTATTAATGGGTTATTTTTATTGATAAATAATCTATTAATTGCCGTTAATTTTATTATTACAACTTAGTATTTTTTTCTTCATTTTAATGGGTTATAGATCAGTTAGTTGGCATTTTATAGCTGCTAGCCAAGAGATCTGTTTTTGTAAGTTAAATTAAACTAATTGCATTCATCTTCAGGACCTCTGCATCTTTCCCCCTTCACTAAATCAGTTCTGAGCATCTCTGTTCCTTTCTGTTTCAGGAGTTATAGTGGTTGCTGAAGTTCTAGCTTTCTCTCTATCTCTTAATTGCAATAGTATACAAGCATTCACAGACCTGTTTAACACGAATCACCTGTCATGAAAGAACATTTTTTGCTGTTTGTATTTGGCAGTTCACCAAAGCTACTGCCTTTGTTACTTTTTCAGTAATTAACTTGGGGTGAGGTGCTGGTTAAACTTAGGTCTCATTCATTGTTATTCTATGTTAATATAGATTTATTTGCATTATCGACTAGGATTATTATGATAATGGTACATTTTCTTGAAAATTCTTCATCCCCTGTTGATGACTAAAAAATTCTTTTCTTGTCTTTTACCCTTGGATAATGAATCACTATCTAAAGCATGTAGTTCTAGACATGACTAGGAGAAAGATTTTGGAATTGTGTAGACCACTGCCTGCTTCCTAAGGCATCAGTATTTCAATAAGTAGAATGGTACTTCAAACAACCTCTTTTAGATTATAAGTCTTGAGGTTATTTGGCTATTTATATGTTGCAGATTAAGAGCTAACAAGTTTGGGCTGCAAGTGTTAGGCTTGCTTTGCAGCAATTGGTGGTTGTTATGTTACTTGAGGAGTGACAGCGTTGTGGTCGATTTTGATCTTGTAATGATATTGCACCTCTGAAATTGTTTCAGTTGTTGGTTTCCTCTTCACCTTAGTATATTAATTTCTACTATGATAGACCTTGTAGCTTCTATGTGATTCCCCTTGATATTATTTTAGCACGATTCATTTTATCTGTGGGCATTACTATTTCCAAGTGGCATTTTGTTCTTTAAATACATGAACAATTTTGAAGGTGTGATGTCTGGATGTTTTCTAATTTTATCTGGAGCATTTATTAATAATAAGTCAAATATTTGATTAAAAAGTTTCATGAGAGTGTTGTTTCAATATTTAAAACGAAAGGAATATTGAAAGAAAATTTGCATGTTTGAATCAGTTGTAGTTTGTTTCTTTTAAAGTTTGAATGGGTTTAATTCCTTGCATTATCTATGTTGCAGACTGATTGGGAGGGTGGTTACTTCCCACTCACACTACACTTCAGTGAAGATTATCCTAGCAAGCCTCCAAAGTGTAAATTTCCACAAGGCTTTTTCCACCCAAATGTTTACCCATCTGGTACTGTCTGCCTTTCAATCCTAAATGAGGATAGTGTAAGTATCTTCTTCTCCTCTTTATTGATGGTTTACATGTTTGGATCAAAGCCTTTCCATCTTTACAGCCTTGAGGTATCATGCCATTCTTATGTTGTACATAGGGCTGGAGACCAGCCATAACCGTGAAGCAGATTCTCGTGGGAATCCAGGATTTGCTGGATGCGCCAAATCCTGCTGATCCTGCTCAAACTGATGGGTATCACCTCTTCATCCAGGTATGTTTCTTAGGTTGATTCTCCAGAAAATGGAAAATTTACATAAAATAATAAATGCTGTACTGAGTACAGTAAATTTTGGTCTGTTTAAAATGATTGCTAAAGTCAGTATAGTTTGCAGGCATGGGATGGGGAATCTCCTTAATGATGTTCTTGATTAAAACAATCATAATCAGTTAAATAACATATAATATGTTTTCCATGTGTGCAGGATGCAAATGAATATAAGAGAAGGGTTCGCCAGCAAGCCAAGCAGTACCCACCTCTTATCTAGTGTTACTAAAATGCCGGCTAGCTGCTTCATGTATAATGCTAGACCTTGCTTTTGCTAGATAAAAACCTATGGTATTTGGCAATTGCCAGTTACCTTTCTATTTAAACTGTATGAACCAGCATTTGCCCTCATCAGATTTGGATAAATGGTTTTTTATATACTAGTAGACTTGAAGTGGAAGTTGCTTTGCTGTACAGATCTTGCGTTGTTTTTTGGGAAGCATGCTCCAATGACAAATGGCAATGGTTTACAACTTGTGTTATGATTTGGATGCCAGTTGCCCGTTGTTTTGATCTTTACAAAAGTAAGAAGCCAATGTCAAAGATTCAAACAAGGAAAATGAAAGATAAAAAGGCATTGGAATAATTGATCAATGACGTGGTATTAGTATTAATGTATTATGTTCTTTGCATTTGGCAATAAACAATTTTATTGTCGTTTATACGTTATAAATCCTCTCATTTATACGGTTATAAATACTCCCAAGAAATGGCATGAAAAGAAATTATGGCATTATGCAAATCTTTATTGATTTATATATTAATAAATTTTATAATTTTAAATATGACACTATAATTATATATATATATATAAATATAAAATTAATATATTTAAAAATTTTAACATAAATTATACGAGTTTAATATATATGCTTTAACAAAAATCATACATAATTTTTATGAATTTATACAAATTATGATATAATAATTTTTTTATTTTCACCTTTCAATTCAACGAAATGATTTTATAATGAATATGGAAAATAGATCCTTTCCAGAAAAAAAATAAGAAAACATTAGTAGTACTTAGATTAGATGTCTCTCTGCCATTTGACCAAGACTTGATCTTGAGAAGGGTTCAACTTTGTTCATTGATTTTGCAAAATCTAATTCCCGGTCAAAGCGCCCGAGAACAGGTTAATGATTGTTGTTCTGTTTCTCCTTTTTAATTTTCAGCAATATGGTCTTTCTATGTTTGAAGTAATTTGAACTTGAATAACGTCTACATGGTTTGGTTATGGAAACTAGATGAGGAATGGACTGGCTCCGATAAGAAATCTAGGGGATCATTTTCAAGGACTACAACTGTTTCCGTAAGACAGTTGCCTAGAATTCTACTTGGAACTCTTTGTTTGCCCTTCATTTTTTGAGCTTCATACTCGTTGCTTGTTGATATGGTTAAGTTGCTAGATCCTTCTTGTTGTTGCTCATATGATGTTGCACTTGGACTACAAATTAGTTACTCACATGGAGGACACATTGTTCTAAATCTCACATTGCACATGTTTTACACGCTTGGACACTAGCAGGTTTTGGCAGCGTTCACATGTCTCTGGAATCAGTAATTCTGCTTACAACATGATTGGTTATCCACCTGCACAAAGGTCATCTGCACATCTGCACTACTTGAGCACATTTTTATTATTTGGAAGTGATTGCTTCTAGATGAATTAGCTTGTAATAGTTTGCTTTAAATGTAAGGTCAAGGGCTTTATGAAATTCTAACAACACGCCCTGTTCCCCAAAGTTGAAGTAGTTTTTCCTTTGAGATTTCTGCTTTTGTGATTCTTTGGAACCTCATCTAATTGTCGATGTTTTGTTTCACAATTGTTCAGTTCTGGAAATGCTGATGCCAATGCTGAGCCAACAGCTATGAAATCGGTACAAAGTTCTTGAGTTGGTTGTCGTGTATCTTATCCCTTTTTGTTTTAGATATTATAGGAAACATGTTCTACATCTTTTGTGGGTACAACTTTAAATTTTTGTTTGATGTTAAGCATCCTACCAAGGAAATATAGATGTTTTCTGTTTAGGTACAGATTTAGTTGATACTGTCATAACATATAGATCCAAAAATTTATAATTAGATTTAACAAATGGAGTCGTCACAAATATTTTTTTATTAGGTGTGATTGGTCACTTAATAAATCTATCATTTTAAGGAGTTCATAAGCTTGATTAAGTGTTCCTAACTTAAAATAATAGGTTTTGGTCTACTAATTAGAACATGATTCGAGAGTTCGGTTACATGTGAAAAAGTTATAATATTTCCTTATACCCATCCAAAAGATAGTACCATTTTATTTTAAATTATCTTAAGATCTTGATACTAATAGTCTTAAATTTAATGTTGAATATTGAAAATAACTTTTAAGATTCTGTATCAATCTAGTAAATTTATTAAAAATTATGTCCTCACCTCAAAAGTATTCAAGAATCCTATTTATTTTTTTGAAGAGGCTTCGTCGTTGGAAAAAGAGTTAATTATTTTATTTTGGTTCTTATTGAAAATATATCTCATTATTTCATTGTTTAGGCTAAATTAGAAATATATTTTTTTAATTTCTAAATTTTTCACAATTTGGGTCTATTTAGAAGTTTTTTTTATTTCTAAATTTTTTACCATTTTGATCTATTTATAAATTTTTTTTCTTTGAAAAAAAAGTAATATGACAATTATTTTCTTGAAATTTCATTTAAATTCTTTCACCACTTGGGACAAATTTAAAAAAGTTTCTCACCTAAAGATTTTTTAAGAATTTATCATTTGAAATATTTAAGAATCTTATCATTCGATAATTATCAAAATTTTTAACCAAAAATTTTATTTAAACTTATTATTATTATTTTTTGTTTGAAAATAAATATTAATTATTGTTATTAAAATTTTATCTAAATTATTCCACAATTTGGGACAAATTTAAAAAAATTTCTTACTTAAAAAATTTATAGAAATTTATCATTTGAAATTAATAAAAATTTCATCATTGGATAATTTGCATTTATTTAAAAAAAATATTTTATTTTATTTTTTATTTTTCCTAAAATTTAAAAATACTTATAAAATAATATAATAACTAACTAAATAAATAAAAATACCAAAAAACGGCTCAGCTTGATGGTTGAAACTGCTCGGTTGTAGGTAGGGGAAATGGTTGGAATGGGGTGGTTCGCGACTCGACTAAATGAATCAACTAGAAAGCGGGTCGACAGAAGCAGGTTGGCGCTTGAGTCGTGTTGGCCTGAATAAAAACACACAGATTGTCACGGGTTGAAACTCAACCTTTAAGCTCGCACAGCTCCAAAATCAGGGCATGCACTAATTCGATATCTTAGATCAATCTAACGATCATGATTCACACCCTTGTGAGGTATTGTTCACTTTGACCTTTATGGTCTTACGATTTTGTCCCACAAAAGGTGCTTCACAAAAAGAAAAATGTGTGAACCCTTATATCCTAAGATAAATTTTAGTACACAGCTGATGTGAGATTCATGACTCCTCTTTCGGATCGTGACATCCTCCCTCACTCTAACAAGGACCCATCGCCATTAGTGGCACATCGCTAGTACCTTAAGATCGACTTTGATACCATTTATCACATGCTAAGCTTTTCTTCAATGAAGTAATAGATCATGTGGCACTTGGATGGATGCTTCCATATAAGTAAGTCAAGAATAGTTCAATATCTGAACAGGCAACCAACAAGCCACAAGTTAATCATAGCATATACAACTATATATATATATATCAAGGCAAAATGGGAGTGCACTAAGGCGACACCCGAAGTTTCATATAAAAAATATTTTATTAATATTGATAATAGTAAAATAAGTCTTCCCACCATCATTGGGGCCAGAGGGGTAACCTTAGATGGGTAGTCTAACACATACCTTAACAATAAGGTAGCCCAACAATACGCTGACTACTCATTCCCTCTAAAGGGTAAATGAGATTTTATAACTATGCTACCAATAATCATTATAATATTTGAAATTGTGACACTTTTTTCTAGCACATGAGATCTACTTTCCCTCTTAGCACCTCTACCCAGTCATGGCCTTATACATGGGTGGCTCATGACAACCTATGCCCAATTATGGTCCTATACAAGGTTGGCTCATGACATTCTTCCCTACATATTCTATCGACGTCCTTGTAAACTTGTTGGCTTAGAATTTTTTGATCTTTCACTTGAATGCTTGGAGGTCATGAACTCTTTACCAGCTAGTTTCTTCTGGTCCTAAGCCCTTTCACTTTAGTAAATATTCATGAACTACTTTTCGAGATACCCTGTCAGCTAAAATCTCTTTAACTTGACTTTTTTATGGTGGTTTCATGGAGATGACGGCCCTGGTTGACTCCTTACGGCTTGCATCTGTGAGATCTATATGGAAAGGCTTTAAGTTGCTCACATGAAACACTGGATGCATTTTCATCCATTTTGACAGGTCAATTTTGTAAAAAGCATTCCTCACTTTGGAAAAGATCATCACTGGACCATCATATTTATACACCAATTTACGATCCTATTTTTTCAGCAATTTAGTTTGTTCGGACACTAGTCTGACAAAAATAAGATCATCAACTTTCAATTACTGTACTTTACGACCCTTATTTGTTCATTTTTTCATGCGCTTCGATGTTTTTTCCAAGTATACTTATGCAATCGCTATATTTTATCTCCATTCTTTGCTAAGGTTGAAGGCTCGCAGATTCTTCTCTCCATGTGGTTCACAAAATGTATGTGGTAGTCTTGGTAGTTGTTCAGTGACCATTTCAAACAGACTCTTATTTGTGGAAAAATATTTATTGGAATTAAAACAGAGTTGAGCGACATCCAATAATGAAGGTTAATTCTTCTGATTGGCTCGAACAACGTATCTTAAGTACTCTTCCAACAACCTATTGAATCGTTCAGTTTGACCATCGATTTGTGGGTGGTATTAGAGCATGATTGAGAAGTGCTAAAGAATTGATAAAATGACTACAAATGGTGGATTTAGTGACCAATAGATGATTGATGAGCTAGAGGCCACGGTGGTCGCCTTAAAAGCTCATGTTGTAACAAATGATCGATTGAAAGAAATCGAGACAACCCAGTAAAAATTGTTCGATACTCTACATAGCTTGGATGAAGAGACCCGAGATGCCTTGAATGTCTTTTAGAAAGAGTTCGAGGAGCTTAGGGCTCAAGTGAGCATCCTATAGATGGCTATGGCTAGGTCGGGTCCTAGTCCGATGAAAAAAAAGAAAAGGCCAAGATGCCAGAGCCCTGATGTTATAAGGGGGTAAGAGATGCCAAAGAGCTTGAGAACTTCCTATTTAACATGAAACAATAGTTTAGAGCCTTGCACATTGAATCAGAAGAGGATAAGATTGCAATGTCGTCGAAGATGCCAAGCTGTGGTGGCGTTCAAAATTTATAAATGATGAATACCCTATTAAAACTTGGGTAGATCTTAAACAAAAATTAAAAAAATCAGGTCTTCCCTGAGAATGTGGAGTATATGACCTAAAAGAAGCTTCAAGAATTGATACAAACGGGAAAAATGCAAAAGTTTGTGAGAAGTTTTTCTACCATAATGTTAGATATTAAATACATGTCTGAAAAAAACAATATGTTTTATTTCCTGAAGGGCCTCAAACTTTGGGCTAGGACAGAATTACAAAGATAAAAGGTGCAAGATGTGGTTACGGCCATGGCTACTGCTGAACGTCTTCATGATTATAATGATGGCTCTTCAAAATGAAAAAATCCTCCATCAAGTGGTAGTAACTCCAACTTTGAGAGTGAGAAAAAGATAGCCAAAGTGGACCAAACCTTCAGTGGGGGATCAAATAGGAGACTCTTTGGTCGAGACAATACCCAACCCAAGATAAACAATGCATTGAATTTCAAGTTGAGGCAACCGCTAGCTTGCTTCATATGCAAGAGACTGCATCAGGTGGTCGAATGCTTGCATAAAAATACCTTTAATGTTTTGAAAACCTCGTCTCAAGAGTCCATGAAAGCCCCTGAGACAATAAAAAAAGTCAAAGAAGAGCCAGTCAGGATAGGCTCAATACAATTTTTTAATGCCCTTCGTACTCAACTAAACATGATAAAGAAAGAACTTGGTAGAAGCATGATGTATGTGGATATGGTACTCAATGGAAAGACCATAATGGCTATAGTAGACACAAGTGCAACCAATACCTTCATCACACCAGAGAAAGCAAAGAAGTGCGGGCTCAAGGTTAATAATCACTGCAGGTAAATGAAAACAGTTAATTCACTGACCTTTATGATCAGTGGAAGCTCCAATAATGTGATGACTAAGTTGGGGCCATGAGAAAGAAAGATAGACTTTACAGTTTCTTCCATGGATGACTTTGATGTTATCTTCGGATTGAACTTTATGATGTTGGCTTAGGTGATCCCAATCTCCATTACTAGTTGTCTATTATTTTTAGGAGAACGCTCATGTTTTGTGTTAACCACGATCTTTCCTAAAAGAGAAAAAAATGATTTCAGCATTACAATTCAAGAAATAGGTAAAAAGAGGGAAGTCTTCCTATATGGCCATGCCAGTTTACAATGAAGGGATTGAGTTAGAATCGGTACCCAATGGAGCGAAAAATATGGTGAAAGAATTTGGGAATGTGATGTCGGAGCAATTACCTAAGGTTTTACCTTTTTGAAGATTGGTGGACCATGAGATTGAGCTTCTTCTAGGAGTTAAACCACCAATTAGAGCCTCATATCGCATGGCTCTGTCAGAGTTGGCTGAATTAAAAAAATAATTAGATGAACTTTTATAGGCCAGGTTCATCAGACCATTGAAGACACTCTTCGGGGTACTTATGCTATTTCAAAGAAAGCATGATGAAAGTTTACGATTATGTATGGATTATAAGACCCTGAACAAAGTCACCGTGAGAAACAAATATCTTATTCCCCTTATTGTAAATTTATTTGATCAATTGAGCTAGGCCAAGTACTTTTTCAAATTGGATTTGAAATCTGGCTATCATCATATCAGAGTTGCTGAAAGAGATGCATCAAAAATCACTTGTGTAATGCGGTATGATGCATTTGAATTTCTTGTTATGCCTTTTGGATTGACTAATGCCCTTGCCATATTTTGTACCTTGATGAATCAGGTGTTTCATGATTATCTTGATAAATGTGTAGTCATTTATTTAGATGACATAATGGTGTATAGTTTTATCTTAAAAGAGCACAAAGAACACCTGCGTCTTGTGTTTCAAAGGTTACAAGACCACTAGTTGTATGTTAAAAGGAAAAAATGTGCATTTGCTCAAACACGAATTCATTTCTTAGCCCATATTGTTGACAAAGCCACATTCGAATGGATATGAAAAATGTTAAGGCTATCAAGAAGTGAGTAACACCAAAGAATGTCAACGAACTCCATTCATTTTCGAGATTTGCTAATTATTATAAGGGATTTGTAGAAAAGATTTTCTCGTAAAACCACTACCCTTATAGAGTTATTGAAAAATGAGCATAAATGGTGTTGGATAAATGAATGTCAAAAGGCTTTTGAAAGATTGAAGGAAGTTATCATGAAGGACCCTGTCTTAGCTCTTTCTGAGATCAAGAAGCCTTTTGAAGTTTAAATAGATGCATCTAACTTTTCTATTGGAGGAGTGCATTTACAAGAACGACACCCAATAGCATTTGAAAGTAGAAAATTGAGTGAAGCCAAAATGAGATATACAGCTCAAGAGAAAGAACTCATAGCAGTAATTTATTGTTTGAGAATTGACGACAATATTTATTGGGTTCACACTTCATCGTGAAGATGAACAATGCGGCGGTTAGTCATTTTTTCACCCAACTGAGGCTCACGGCTAAGCAAGTTAGATGATAAAATTTTTTAACCAAATTTGAATTTTGTTTTGAGCACATAGCTAGAAGAACCAATCAAGTGGCAGATACATTGAGTAGACGAGCATAATTGGTTGCCCTCAAGAGAATTACCCTAATGGCAGCTAGTAAAGTCACAACAGATGTCTGTAAACTAATTAAAGATAATTTAAGAAAAGACCTATAGGTCGGTGCCATCCTGAAGTTAGTAGAAAAAGGAAAGTCCAAGTACTTTTGGCAAGAAAATGGAGTCTTATTGACAAAGGGCCCTCTATTATTTGTAACAAAAGCAGGAGGTCTGAGACAAATGCTAATGAGGGAATGTCATGACACCCTATAGGCTAGGCACTTGGGTTGCTCCTTCATGCCTACTATAACTAGTTATTTCGATTTTTTACTAGCGGCTTTAACTATAACCTCAGCTCTATTTATTGGTATGAGTAAGATACGACTTATTTGAAAATTAATTGAATGAATGAACAATTAATAAAAACAAAGTTTTCTGTCATATTCCATAAATTCTATAGTTCCTTACCATGTTAATTATCAATTATTAGTTATTGATATTCATGGGTAATAGAGATTAATATTTAGGGATAGATATTACCTTTATTTTTCTCTTTTCAAATAAATTGAAATGATTGAAGTTTTTCTATTTGGAATCGTCCTAGTACTTTGGCATTATTGAAACAAGGCTATTATTGGCCTCATATGTGGTAAGATGTGATGGACTATATGAAGATTTACCTCATTTGCCAACAGGATAAAGTCGAAAAAAAAAATCGACAGGCGTGCTTGAACCACTACTTGTACCCATATGACTTTGGGAAAGTATCTCCCTTGACTTCATATCAAACCTTCCAAAAGTTGATGATCTTAGGTTTATTCTGGTGGTGATTGACTATTTCTCGAAGTATGCCACATTCATTCTTGCCTAAAAGTATTGTATTATGAAAGATACAGCCCAGCTAATGTTTAAACATGTAATCAAATATTGAGACCTTCCTCAAAACATTATCAATGACAGGAATCCAAGATTCACTGGGTCATTTTGGAAAGAACTTTTTAAGATATTGGGGTCTAAACTCAACATCTCTTCAAGTTATCACCCACAAATCGATGGTCAAACTGAATGATTCAATAGGTTGTTGGAGTACTTAAGACACTTTATTCAAGCCAATCAAAAGAATTAGCCTTCATTATTGGATGTCATTCAACTCTGTTTTAATTTTAATAAATATTTTTCCACAAACAAGAGTTCGTTTGAAGTGGTCATAGGACAACTACCAAGATTACTACATGCATCCCTTAAGTTGTATGAAGGGAAAAATCTGCGAGCCTTCAACCTTAGTAAATAATGAAGACAAAATACTGAGATTGTATAAGCATACTTAGAGAAGACATCGAAGCATATGAAAAAGTGGGTAGATAAGGGTCGTAAAGTACAACAATTTAAAATTGGTGATCTTGTTTTTGTTAGATTAGTGCCCTAACAAATCTGGTTTCTAAGAAAGTAAAATCACAGATTAGTGCGTAAGTTTAAGGGTCTAGTGAAGATCATTTCCAAATGGGGAATGCCTTTTACAAAATTGACCCATCAAAATGGATGAAGGTTCATCAAGTGTTTCATATAAGCAACTTAAAGCCTTTTCATGTAGATCCCACAAATGCAGGCCGTAGGGAGTCAATTAGGGTCATCATCTCTATGAAGCCACTATCAGAACATCAAGTTGAAGAGATTTTAACTGACAGGGTATCCAAGGTATCTCGAAGAGTAGTTCATGAATACTTAGTGAAGGGGAAAAGCTTAGGACCAGAAGAAACCAGTTGGGAAAGAAATCATGGCCTCTAAGCATTTAAGTGGAAGATCAAAAAATTCTAGGCCAACAAGTCGACGAGTACGTTGATAGAATAGGTGGGGAAGGATCTCATGAGCCAACCTTGTATAGGCCATAACCGAGCATAGGTTGTCATGAGCCACCCATGTATAGGGCCATGAACGGGTAGAGGTGCCAAGGGAAAAGATGGATCTCATGTGCTAGAAAAAAGTGTTTCCATTTTAAACATTATAATGGTTATTGATAGCTTAGCTATAAAATCTCATTTGCTTTTTAGAGGGAGTAAGCAGTCAACGTATTATTAGGCTATCATTGACTAAGGTATGTGCTAGACCACCCATCTAGGGCTACCCCTCTAGCCATGATGATGGTGGGAAGACTCGTACTATTCTCGATATTAATAAAATATTTCTTTTTATAGAGACTTCGAGTGTCGCCTTGGTGTGCTCCCATTTTGCCTTGATATTTCTATATATATATATATAGTTTTGTATGCTTGCGATTAACTTATGACTTGTTGGTTGCCTGTTCAGATATCAAATTATCTTTGGTTGACTTGTGTGGAAACGTCCATCCAAGTGTCACACGGTCTATTGCTTCATTGAGAGAAAACTTAACCCGTGACACGGATCCTAAGACCATTTAAGATGAAAACGGTATCGTTTTGGTCAAGAATAAATAGGTTAAAAATCATTTTTCCCTTCAAACTTCCTTTGTTTCCTCTCTCTCTACTTTTTTTTCTCTCTCTTTCTCTCTAGAAACCCAAAAACATCGATTGAATCTTCACTGGACTCTGAGAATTTTCATCGAAATTTGGGTTGGTTTGTTAGAAGTTCACTAAAAAATTCAACATTCGCCAGAATCTACCACCGGACTCTAAAAAACCTACCTGAAAATTCAACTGATGTAAAAAAATTCATCGAAATTTGAAAATTTTTGTCAGAATCTAGGAATTTTTTAGATTTTTCCAAAAAAAAATCTTCTTTGTTCAAGCAAAAAATCTCCAAAAAATCTTCTATTCTCTGGCTTTTTTTGCGTGCTTTCTTCTCTGCTTTTCCCTGTATTTTTTTTATCTCTCTTTTTTTTTCTGTCTCTGATTTGTGTCCATGTGTGGATTGCATCTGTATTTATAGGCTTTCAAATATGAAAACCCTAAACTGGAAATGAATTTTGATTCCTTTTAAATTTCAACTCCACATTTTAAGTCTAATTTAAAGTCTTCACTCCATAGTTTCACACAAATTCAACCTGTCAGATTTTTCCTTTTTTTGTTTTTTTTTCCTTATTTTTTTTAGTTTTTTTTATTGACAAAAGCAAAATCCAATAAAACCCTAAACAGATTAGGGTGTTTACATATTTTATTCATAGATTGTTAAATACTTTGTCATCACCCCATTTTCTTCTTTTTGGCAGCCCATATGGCTCCGAAAATACTCCCTATAGTAAAAGGATAAATCCAAAATAATATATCATAGCTGCAATTGGAATCATTGAGTGTAAATAGTGATGGCAACGGGTCGGGGCAGGGCGGGTTTTTGCTCACCCCGAACCGACCCGATTTTAAATATATAATACTCGAACCCGTACCCGACCTGACAAATTTTTTTTTATTTTTAATATCCGAACCGACCCGACCCGATATTATATAAAATCAAATCCGACCCGACCCGAATTAATAAAATATTATTTTAAATATAAATATAAAATTAAATATATATAAATATATATAATTAAATATAAAATTAAAAAAATAATTTTTTTATATATATCGGGTCGAATAGGATCGGGTTTGCCTAAAACCCGACTCAGAAAATTTTTTACCCTACCCGATCCCGACCCGAACCGATACCCGATTTTCAAAAAAAAAAATCGACCCTAAACTGTCGGGTCGGATCAAAACCCGACGAGTTAGGGTGTTTTTGCCTTCCCTAAGTGTAAATGCCCGTGGTAAAGTTTAGATGAAAGAAGCTAAGGGTTTAGTAAAATGTGGCCTTTTTCATTCTTTTTTTTTTTTTTAAAATAATGACTAACTAAACATAACTGATTCGAGAAACTAAGTGTCTCTTAATAGCCATGGTAAAACGTTGAATCTCATTAACGAAACATAACCTGTTTAATAAAGTATTATTGTTTTTCCAGTAACCTTTATATTTCTTGAAATAATGACTAGATAGCCCTTCAGGTTTCATTGTTGGAATGGTTTTCATAAATGGTAGCATTTTAATTCCTCATTCCCTTATGTTTGCAGAGCGCTACCCCTTGTCCAACCCTTTTTGTGGCTAAAGTGGGGGCAAGTTGCACCGAGGAAGAACTAATCCAAGTATTTTCAAGGTAAAAAGAGATTGTTTAGCTATGTAAATTTGCTCATGGTGCATAATTTTCTGTCACTTTGTTGCTTCTTTCAGATGCCCTGGGTTTCTGAAGTTGAAGATTCAGGGTACATATGGAGCTCCAGTTGCCTTTGTTGATTTCCAGGTACCTATTTTTTTCTTGTTTCTATGCTGTTTCCAATTCTATTTCTTCTTTTTCCCCTTCATTTCTCTAATTATCTGATATCTTTAAAAAAAGGCCTATTGTTTGCTGTTGGAGAAAGGAGCAATGACCAGTGATTCTTTCTAGCTTAGTGTGGAAGATGCAGAAATGTTGGTCAATATAGGTGTCTAGTCATGGAGGTCCATTACAGAAACTGGAGAATATGGGGAAAAAGAGAAGGGAAAAGCTTCAAATTCATTCATTTATCCAAGTAGATTCTTTCTTTTTGAGTTAAATTATAGGTTGAGCACAAGTTTATTCATTTAGTGTCACGTGCCTAGGTGCGTCGAGCTTTTTTTTCTTAATCCATCAGCTGGGATATACTAATGAGAGGTGATTCTGTTTTATAACCTCTTTAGCTTTAGTCATTCCTCCTTCATGCTAAGGTTCAAACGTAGAACCTCAAACATCCTTGACCAAAGGCGACCTGCTTTCGCGAGTTATATCAGTGACAGTAGGAAATACTTGATCTAAAATATGGCTTAAGGAAGAGACGTCCTTGAAGGATATGATCTTACACGAGCACAATGGTGGAATAATGTGGGAAAAGTCTCTATCTTTTGTCTCCAGTTTTCAATGCTTGCAACCTTAATAAGTGATGGCATGTGGCAGGATACTGGCTGTTCAACTGGTGCAATGAACTCACTGCAAGGGACAATTATATACTCATCACCAGCTGGGGACGGCATGCGTTTGGAGTATCCTCTGATATCACCTTTTTATACTTACTTTCCATTGCATTTCTTCTATTGTATTTTGAGATTTTGCTTAATGAGCAATCCAGATATGCAAAATCACGAACGGGAATGCGCAGGAAACCAAAGTAATGTCATGGAAAGCAGAGACAAAGAGTTCATACAGAGAGCGGGAAGGGTGACTCGAAAATTTTTCCCTCAAATTCCTCTGGTTTTTTAAAGGAAAAAAATGGGAGAAAATTTTTTTTGTTAATTTTATTTTCCTTTCCCTACTAGTTTCTTTAGTACCAAACATGGGACTATGAAACTTCTGCTTTCCTCTATAAGACACATTTTAACATTTACCAAAATCTTAAATCACGCAATAGTATATTTTTTTTCATTCTAAATCATAGATCATAAAGGTAAAATGAAAGAAAAGGTGGGTTTTCTTTTTTTTTTTTTTAATTCTTAAAATTAGGTATCGTTTGACTGTTGAAAAATTAAATATTGAATTTTTTTTCTAACCTAAGGTAAGGGGAGCAAAGATAAAATAAAAATTTTCATTTTGAATTGAACAACCCTTTCTTAAGGAAGAGGATTATTGAAGTCAATTATTGGATACATATGCCACCATAAAACAAAGCAATAAAAAATACTATCTTCTTCCATCTTGCATAAACAATTATATACGCTAGCTTGCTTCTTTTCTATATCACATCTCTCTCACTACTTTTTCTTTTTTTTTTTTTTTTTGGGAAATTTTATTAACAATTAATATGAAATTGAGGGATCTGTCATACTCATTGTGACTTGTTTGGCGAATTTTATATGAATTTTATCGAGATCAACATTTGTCTAGATTTAGACGACGTTCAACCGAAATTTAAAATAAAAAAGCAATTAGAATGCATCAAAAATTGTGTTCCAAGACGTTCACCTACAATCTAATTAATATTTTTTTTATTAATTGTTACTTGGGATTGAATATGCTTTTAAAATAGTAGTGGAAAAGCATGCATGGCTCTAAAATTTTCACGTCGCAATCTGCCAATATCTTGTTTATCTTATGCTAATTAATCATTTTTTTTGCAAATAATAATGTCATTTATTGGTATAATATTAGATTTGGTTAGAGATCAAATTCTAATAATCTTAAATATGTTTAAAAAAATTAATTATTTTCCTAAAAAATTAGAGGTTAATCTCTGACACTCAATAAAGTTGACAAAATTGGATTTCTATATAAAAAATTCAAACAAAAAAAATAAAATAAATTCTCTCTTTATTACTTGAATCAACATATATTACTAATTTTTTATAATTTTGATTTATTAAAAAAAAAATCTTTACAACTTTCAAGAAAATCGTTTAATATATATCTAGAAGTTTTTTTTTTCTCCAAATACCAAATTACATTTTTTTTTTCATACAAGTGCTGGGAATTGGGATACATTCAAAACAATTTAATTTATTTTGTTCAAATCCAAATTAATACTTATAAATAACTTGGTATATAAGATAATATATTAATATTCATGTGCTACCTTCTTAACAGCTAACATCCACCAAAGAAATTTAATAGAGAATTAGGGTTTGTCTGTTTTAATTGAACCCTAAGCAAGACGTCTAGGGTAGCACGTCATGCCACAGCTCCATTACAATCGGACAAATGGGGATTTGGGGTCGAAAAAATCTATCCCAATTTTTTTAAACAATTATCTCAATTGGCACAACCTGTCTGTCTTATCTCATTGGTTAATTAAAAAATGAAAATAAAAAATTGGAGCTTCGTTTCCCTGAATTTTGTAATCATAATTTGAATTTCAAGATTAATTCAATAGATTTGTATTATTATTTTTAAAAATAACATCTAATAAACTTAATATTCAAATTTTAATATTTTCAGTTCATTCTTTTAGCTCATGTGTTAATTTCTTTTGTATAAAAAACATATAATGTCAAATAAATAAGTAGGTTTTAAAATCTTCAATCTCCAAAAATCTTTTTTTAAGTTGTAATTTGAAGATAATAAAGATTATAAATGATGAAATTTAATTTAAAGTTTATTACATATTATTTAAATATGATTACATAAATTAATTGTATTAATTCTTAAATTTTAAAAAATCATAAATTAAAATTAAATTGTTGCATTTGTAATATATTATATATATATATATATATATATATATAAAGGATAAGACCTAAACACATTTTTGTTATAATCAAATTTATGTAATTATCAAACCTTATTCTGATATTTTCTATGGAATCTATGCTAGACCGACATTATATTATTAAATTAATGTTCAAAATACAAAATAGAAGAATTGGCATATAATTATAGAATCCCACAAATTAAAAGCTAATGCATAAATAATTAGACCGACCGTTAATTAATAATATGATAAACAAGGGAGGTCGCCCTATTCTTTTTTAGTTGGTGGGCCATAACACTATTAAAATGTTCCAATTTTATCCTCAGATTTATGGCGCGAAAACCAAATTTGACAAGGACAAAATGGTCATCCAATATATTGTATAATTTGTATTGCTCTAAGGGAAAGTCATTTCCAAGTGGCATCCATCCACCGACCACCGACTTACCCCTTTCTCTTGCTTGCCTCGTCACGAATTAAAATAAATAAATAAAATTAGAAATAAAATAACAAAGATAGAATCATTATAAAATTAATTAATTAATTAAAAAGCTTGGGAAAATAAAATGAATTTTTTAATCTTTAAATTACGTTTAACTTATTCGTTACATCTATCAATTGCTTGCATAAACATTACTTAATTAAATTATTTTATTTTTTAATTAATGCTTAAACTATACAATCTAATGACATCGGTTTAACGTCATTATTTAGAATGTATTTTCACTCTTAACTTTTTAATGAAAAATCCTCTAAATTATAAATTATAAATTTAATTTAATCGATTGGTATAATTAATTTTAAAAAATAACATCTAAATATTTAAAATTTAAATTTTATTCCCTCTTTCATATTTTTTTATTTATTTTTTTAATGTCTCCAAATTAAGTGTATTTTTTTAACATCTAAATTTTATTTATATTTTAAAATTTTTTTATTTGTTGACATTAAAAATTATGAAATTTTAATTTAATAAAAAATTAAATTTAATATTAAATATATTAAAATAATTTTTTTTTAATTCTGTTAAAATCAATATCATCCAAATAATTTAAAAAATAATAATATTTATAATTTTTTATTTTTAAATTTTTTTATGCATCAAATATAAAAACATATTGTATGTATGTAACTATATAAGAATTACATAATTTTTTGTTCATAATTTATAATATAAGAAAAATATAGATTTATTAAAGAATCAAATGTTTAAATATTATATTTTAAAATTCAAATATTCAACTCCATTAAACATTAGTGTTGACCATGTAGGGAAAATTTTATTAGAATTATTTATTTATAGTCGAAAAATATAACAAACAAGACAAGCCCCAAGTTGCCAAGATTAAGGCATCTACTTCTAAGCCATATATGACATGTTCCAATTTATAACATTTACGAGAAAATGAAATTAAAAAGAAAATCATATCCCTAACTTCACCCAAATTTGTGTCGGTGAATTTGGATTTTCTGATTTTTAGTTTTTTTTTTCTTCTCTTTCTCTCTCTGTTTCCTTCTTAATTCTCACAGACAGCTTTGCTGTGTCTCTTAAAAACATTTCAACGTGTAACCATAAACGTATGGCACAGCCAAACTAAGCATGCCATCTAAAAAACTTAACCCTTCCGGTTCCTAGTTCTTGCCCTGTTCTGATAAAAAACACCCCCCCAAAAAAAAACAGACCCAAAGCTGGGAAACATAGAATTTGTCGAATAAAAGCCATGGAAAATGGAACAGGGGTTGTTGCTTCAAGGGAGAGTTCGAGGAAGTCTGCGGAGAGGCCGTACAAAGGAATAAGGATGAGAAAGTGGGGGAAGTGGGTGGCTGAGATAAGGGAACCGAATAAACGGTCGAGGATTTGGTTAGGGTCTTATTCCACCCCCGTCGCGGCGGCCAGAGCTTATGACACGGCGGTTTTTTACTTACGTGGACCATCGGCTAGGTTGAATTTTCCCGACCTTCTGGAGGGAGAGAAAGTTGGCGGCGGCTCCCTCGGTGGCGATTTGTCGGCGGCTTATATAAGGAAGAAAGCTGTTGAAGTTGGTGCTAGAGTTGATGCTCTTGAGGTAGCTCATCATCATCATCATCACCACCACCACCATCACCACCATCATCATAATCATGGTCATAGTTATAAACTTAATCAGAATTATAATCGAAGTTACGGCGATGAGTTGAAGCCAAGTGGCGGGTTCTTACAGCGGGTTGACTTGAACAAGATGCCCGACCCGGAGGATTCGGATGATGAATGGGAAAAGAAGTAGAAAGGAAAAAAAAAAAAAAGGAAAGAAAAGATAAGTTGGCGTAATCATGTCCCTCCAATTATTGTGATTACAAAGTTGTAACGGCGGCTGCGCTGAGAAATAGGAAGGGAAGGGAGTGGTTGCTAACATGCACCTTGGGCAGTAATAGCTAACGTGCGCCACAGTTGAGGTAAGTCTAAGACAATTAAAGTTACAGTTGAAGAAATGATGAAGCCTTTATATTAATTATTGGTGTAATGAAAAATCTTTGGTTTTTTCCATTTTGGATTTGATGGTAAAAAATTTTGGGTAGTGTAAAAAAAGGGGTAACTGTATATTTGATACTAATTTCTTCTATCTTTTTACTTCTTTCCTTCTTCTTTCTCTGATTTTTTTTTAATTGTTTGTGTTATATATTTGGGGTTTTCAGTTTTAAAAAGCGTTAAATTTTTTTAGAGGGGATAATGGATGGAAACAAAGGGGCGAGTTGGAGGGATGTTGCTTTAAAAGTTCCTCTACCCAAAACAAAGGAAATGGAAATGGGGAAGAGGGAAGAGGCAGTGGCCTACACATTCCAGCAGTTTGTGCAAAACGGCCATGCTAAGCTGGGCTGAGAAAAAAAAAAAAAAAGAAATTATTCGAAATTATAATGTTGACTTTATTCGAATTGATTTTTTTATTCAATTAAATTTAAATTAAATTTTAAATCAAAAAGTAAAAAATTAAATTAAATTAAAATTTTTAATTTATATATATTAAATTTTTATATCAAAATTTATTTAAATATATTTAAAAAATTTATTAAAATAATATAAAAAAATTAAAAATTAATAAAACGAACCGATAAAATAATTTAAATAAAATAAAATTTAAATTTAAATCAGATTTTAAAATTTTATAATATTATATAATATTTAAAAAAATATCGATATCGCTGAAGTTGTTAACTACTGAAGTGATAAGATTTTGAGTTAGGTAGTCGATGTGTAACGCTAGAAGCAAAGAGAGAGAAAAGAGGTGGGATTGCCGCCCCCCAAGGTAGTGCATAATCATGTTTGGCGTCCAGCTTTGATTGCGGGGGGAGGTTTCTTGTTTTTTTGGTATATTCGGAGCCTTTCTTGAAATGAAAAGATGTCGTTAAATCGCCGCTCTTTGTTAACAATGCAAAAAATATCTTAACAAACAGCTTAAAGCACCAATCTGATGGTTTTTTTTTTGGACTTGTGTTCTTTGTGTTTATTAAGAAACTAAAGGACAAGACACGACTCTTTGAGTCCCCACAATCAGCGGAAAGAATCTCTTTCCTCCATCGCCCTATCGAAGCACCACAAATCCTTGAATGATATTCTCCAATTAGTGCTTTTTTCTTCGGTGTCACGCTTTGTTTGAAAGGCAAATAAAGCAATTCGTCCGAGATTTCCTCTTGTGATGACCGATCTTCAGAAAAGGAATGAAGCTTTGCAAACACCAGAAAAGAACATAACAAACAAAAGGATTAAAACCAAAGGGAATTATTTCTTAATATGTTCACTTACCAGCTTATCCTCAATTACATCAACAACTGGAACCGGAAAGTCGACAATATTTTGTCTCGAGCAATAATCTGAAAATTTGATACAGTTACCGCTTATTATATGAGTTCAGATAAAGACTTTAGACTTCAATCTAAATGCTTACCTCTTCTGCCAAAAATGAAAAGAAACGGAAGGACATACTAGGGATGTAGTTAATCAGAATGTGCAACAGACCTAGCAGCATCCTCAAGGTTAGTTTAGTTGTTTCACTTACAACTACTGGAGCTGGTGTCATTAAATCGCCAACCACCAGGCAATTGGTTTTGTCAAGCAACTTCTCTACCTCATTGAAAGTCTGCAAAACTGAGTGCCACTCGGTTGGACATGTAAAAATTAAACGATAAATACAAATGAGTTCTTCTGGAGCCAGTTGCAGTAAGACTGAAATAGAAACAACCAAGTTACCCAACCTTCAAAGTTTACAATCTAGTTTGTATCAACAAATATTGTCAAAATGAAAAGGATTTGTTTTCCTCCAGCATATAGCTATCCATCACTAAATGCGCAAAGAGCATTCGACTAAGTTTCAACTTCTCTTTCGATACAAAGGCACATTTTTTCATGTTATATAAAATTTCACAGAAATATTCTCTTTTGCAAAAAATCTCCTGTATTTCCTGATTGATTCTCAAGGTACCATCCTTAGCATTAGAAAACAGATGCATAAAATAAGCACATTTAAATGGTGCAGCCTCATGCAATAGAAATGCCCATGTGTAGCAAGCGAACATCTACAATTTGATAAAGTTGAATCTTATAAAAGCAGAAAGCTGAATGATGATCTAAAGGAGAAAGAAAACTTCTTCCATAACCATTGTTACAAAGGAAAAAGAAAAATGAGCATCGAGGTGGTTTAGCTCTCTGCAATATTAACCAACTAACACATGGCAGGCAAATTGTCTGATTAAATTTCATTAAGCCATGAAGAAAATCCAGGAATTACAGAAGATTGCAGGATGATATCAACAGAATGCACATCAACAACTGCAGATTGGAGGAAGATATGCTTAGTGTTTGTTATGTCTTGATGTAATTACCGATATTATAAACCATTGTGCTTCTTAGTGCAGAGGTGTTTCACTTTGTAGTAGGTTTGCCTCGGATGAATAAAGATATATCCAAAAGCGAAGATAAGACCATGGACGAAATAGCTTGACTGACATTGTCAAGGACAATTTAGTCTAGCCACATCTCACAGGAACAGGAGAGTACAGGAATTGCCACAAAGCTCAATTATTTCGGTGATCTAGAAAATAAGACTAGATCTTATAATGCAATATACTTTTCAAACCTTAAAATAGCTGTTATTTCCCAATTTCCCCTTTTTTTTTTTTTTAAATCTAATGGAACTTCATTTCCATTTACCAAAGATTCAAGATGCTAATATTTACCTATGTTTATAATGATGTAATGGAAAAAAATGGTTTTGGAAATGAATAATATAAAACTATGTAGAATGACATTGACTTCCACTAAAAAGATGCATCGATTTCAAGAAGAGAGACAGACTTTGAGTACTTTCCAAGTTCTATCAACTTCAGGAAACAAGTTGTTCTCAGACCGCCACCATGGTTGAAAGAACAACTTAAAAAATGTAAGAAATCACCATCATTACAACAAGATATCCCAGGCTCATAATACTTAATCATATTAAAGAAATCCTTTTGATAACAATCAAGGCCTACTCTACATTCTATTAGCCTAGCAAGAATAAAGAAGTGATGCAATTTTTGGTGAGAAATTGCCATAGAAAAACCTGCATCTTAGCTTAATACAAACTGGTCCAATCTATACTACCACCAAAAGAATATCCTAAAACCCACGAGAAAGGGAAGTAATAAAACTTCAATGCTCAACTTAAACTGCAGTTTTTGCTCATATCATGATAAAAATGTTTTTTTATCTTGAGTGGACAGATTTTATCTACTAGTAGAATTATACAGATAAAAAAACATTTTTATCTACTAGTAGAATTTTACAGAATTATAAGTGGACAGATTTTATAGTAACGAAATAACAACTAAAAGAAAGACGAATGACCCAGCAAAATTCAGCAGATAACTTTAACTTACTAGATATGGAGTCCAATGCAAGCAAGTCATAATCAGAGACAAGTCCAAAATGCAGCAGCAAGGAACATGATTATTCCAAAAGTACTAGTTAACATATACTAGGTCAAAAAGATAAGGCAGATTCACAATCCAAACAAATAAAACTGAAATTGACTGCAAATGAAAGCATGATGGAAAACTTTGGAAAAAGAAGGCATCTATATGTTGACACTTGAGACATTATGACAATGGAATGCGGAAGCAATAACGAGTTGATCTAGAAAGGAGATGCAAGCAGGCAAAGAAAGTCATCATATGGGCAGGACTATCTTTCCGTCACCCACCATATGGTGACGTTGAAGTAAGAATGGAGAGAGGAACAAATATGTATACCTACAGTCTCTATTGGCCACTGTTTCACTAAGATATTTGCTTAAACCTAATGAACCATGACTATATTCCAGTCTTAGATAGTAGCATTATACCCTTTATTGACAAGATCAAAGATCCAACCCAACACTCATTTTTGGGCCATGGGCTAGTGGGACAATGAAAAAGCTAGAATTCCACTTATTTGAAAATGTCAATATATCATGATAGTATAGACATTTGGTATTAAAAATTAGCAAAAGAATGCAGGTACTAAAGCTAATTAATATTAAAATCTCAGGACTAAACTTACGGGAAAGATAACATACCAATTTCCAATCATCATCGCTCACAGGAAAACCAGTGATTTTGTGTTCAACAAGAGCTTCCAGCGCTATTGGTGTTGGCACAAGATCAATGCATTAAAGCTTTTTAACATTTTTTTTAAATGCAACATGTTATAAGATACAAATTTAGCGTAAAAAACACCTTCATCAACTGTTGTTGTTGGCTTTACCATGTGCAAATTCTCTTTCCTCGTCATAAAATCCCCAACTTTATATATTCCACCTCTTCGCTGCACACACAAAAATAAAGAAGAAATGTTCATAAAGAGAACTAAAGTAAAGTCTGAAAACCATAAAACCATCTTCACATGTTGTCAAGCCTAAAACGTTTTTCATTTTGAATAAAGTATTTTATGATCAAAAGGATTTAGAAAATATACAGACAGAGAATCGAAAAAATTCCATGAAGTGCCATCTAATTGTATTTACCTGAAGGATTTGATTAATCACTACACTATTTCAGACGAAGCACACAAGTGTACATATATGCAAAACGAATTACATCCAAGATGCAAATTAAAATGAAACAAGAGCTTAATTACTTTCTTTGCATGCTTTAGTCCACATGAAACTTTCAACTTAATACAGTAATCAAGGACAGTAGAGATGTCAAAACCTAAATCAGCAAAATTTTCAGATAAAAATGAATTAAATTGCAAAAATCCGTGCATATAAAAGAGAAGTTTCCCTAAGCTGTTTTGCCTCTAAAGCAGTTCTAAGATAAGTACTAATTTCAGCTAAGTTGACAAAAATAGGCATCCAAACAATAATAATAATAATAATAATAATAATAATAATAATATTATTATTATTATTATTATTATTATTATTACTATTATTATTAATTAATTAATTAATTAATTAATTAATTGCTTGCTAACTCTTACAAATGAAATTGACTAAAGAACCCTCGTAAAACAAAAAAACAGAAAAGAAATGCGAGAAATTGTTAAAGCGAATAGATAAGGTAACAAATCGAAACGGAATTGGCAGTGAGAGTGCCACAAGAGGCGACAATGGAAGCGGGTGACCTACTAGAACCAGAGCCGATGGTGACGGTGGACGGGGCGATAGAGGAACTGGCTAGGCATGTGGCGAACGGAAGCAGTGGAGGTGGAAGTGGCACGTAGGCACGTGACGGAGAGGGATTCCGAATGAGGAATTGAGTCCATTGTTTATCGACTCTTTTCCTTCGGTGGCGGTCGCCTTAGTCGGCTTTTGGATATATTTAGTGAGGAAATGAAGGTAACAAAAAAGGGGAACGTTAGGGAGCTCGAAGACGGGCGAAAGAGGAGGCGGAGATATTTTGAGGCGGCCGCTGTTTACCACTTGAGAACGGTTTTTTTCCCAGGATTAAATCTTCAAATTTTCACCCAAATAGATAAATAATGCATAATTAAAAATTTGAGAACTAATACTTAAACTACATTAATGCACCTTATTTGGATGAAATAATAAAATAATTTGTTACAAAAAACTTTAAAAAAATAGAATTATTTAAATATTAAAAGGAAAACAATATCGTTAATGTATTTATTGTTATTTAAAAGTGAGAAAAAAAAGTCATTACAATAAATTTTAAAATATTTAAATCCACTTCTTTATTTTAAAAAGTAAAAGATTAAAATACTTTTATCAACATATATCTTTTATTTTTTCATGTGACTTTTGAGCAATATTCTCGATTGAATTTGTATAATTTAACTTGTGATAACAATTCAATGATGATTTTTATAATAATAAAATAATTTATATTTATATTATTAAATAAAATATATATAAAAATAAATAATTATTTTTTTATATTTGATAATCATTTTAAATTTTAATAATTTAAAGTAAAATCAAATCGAATTTCGTAAAAATCATAAATTTTTTTAATATTTATTTTTTTATTTATAATATTTAAAATCAAAATTTTATTTTAAATTAATCAAATATTTTAACTATTGGAACAAATAAATAGATGTAATTATATTATTTTATTTCTTAACAAAAGAAATTTATTTTTAAAAAATAAAAAATTTTCAATAAAATATACTTATATATTTATCATTGGATAAAATATTCATAATAACATTTTTAAGATATGATGCCTTATATTCTTTTTTTTTTAATTTGATTAAATTTTGCACAATAACATCTATCTATTCATCAAATTCGAAAATAATTTGAGGTTTATTTTAGGCCAAAAGAAAATATTTATGTCCAATGGTTGGAAATTTTTTATTTATTCAGAGAATTTATTATTATTATCATATTATTGAAAAAGACTGATAATTAATTTATACACCGAAGAATCTCCCAAAAGGGAAAAAAGCCGAGCACAGCAACTCACGTGGAAACTAAATCAGAAATGGGAGCCAACAAAGGAAAATGAATCAACGGCTGGAATCGCATCAATCAAAAAGTTAAAAATTAGGTTTGACAGTTGTCGTCGCCACCAACTTTCCTTACCATATAATCTCCCCTTCTATTACGAATCGGGTGCGGTGCAGCCCGTACTGCCCAAAAGCTAAAAATCCCTTTATTTTCTCTTCTTTCTCTTTTTATTTTTAGCACCAAAATTTTCAAAAAACAAAAAATCTTTTCAGTTTTTTTTTGTGGGTTTTTTGTTTTATCACCGTTCATTATTTTGAAGAAAAAATTTTAAAAAAAAGGGGAAGGAGGTAATGTCGCAGGTTCAAGTGCCAGCTCAGGTGGCGCCGGTGGCGGTGACGTCTACGCCGCCACCACAGCAGCAGCAGGTGGTGAATGGGGTGGCGAGTAATGGTGTGAGTGTGACGACGTCGTTGTATGTTGGGGATCTTGATCCGATTGTGACGGAATCTCAGCTTTATGATATGTTTAGCCAAGTGGGAACGGTGGTTTCGGTTAGAGTTTGCAAAGACTTGAGTACCCGCCGCTCTCTCGGTTATGGTTATGTTAATTACAGCAATGCACATGAAGGTTATCTTCGTCTTTTTCTTTAATTTCACTTCTTTACTATTGGATTTATTTAGGCTCCGTTTGGATGTTTCATATTTGTTTGTTTTATTTTTTAAGTATAGAAGCTAAATTATGACACAACTAAATATGAATAAATCACTAAAATGTATGTATTTTGTTTTCAAAAACTTATATAAATATTAGTATATGTAATCCAAACAAAGGGTTTTGGTAAAAGTAAACAACTGAAGGGTGTCTTAATTTTTTTTTATATGGGTTTAGAGTTATGGATCTTAATGTGGGTTTATATTAGTTTTGACTTTATATAGGGATAATCTTCCGTGTATGCATTGCGTTGGGGGGAAGAAACATGTTAGTTATAGATACTAAAGGCTATTGTGTCTTGGAGTATAGTTTAATTGTGTTTGATAGAATTTAGAAAGAGTAACATTTAAGATGGAAAATTGAAAGTAGTCTGTCCATGTGTCCCTGAATTTTTTTTCTAAAGTTGTCTTGCTGTTTTGGTCTGGCTAAGTTAGAATGATGTTAACGTAGAGTATTTAGAATTGGAAAAAAATTCAGTTCTGAGTTCTGACATTGCCAAAGCAAACATTTTGCTATAATACCGAGGCATAACCTTGTGTTTGTCCCATGTTTTGCATAAACTGAACGAGCTATTAGAAGCGATTTGAACTTAAGCCATTAAGTTGGTTACTATGTTGCCATACTTGTTTTATGTTTGATACAATATCAATGTATATGTGTTTTCTTAGTAGTTAATGATTAGCTGGACAATTCTAAAGCAATATTATTGTATCCTTTTTCATTGTGGTGGGGGGTAGGGAGTTGTGGGAGTAGAGTTGAAATACGTACTGGTTCTTAAATGGGTCTGCCTGATTGCTTGTGGCTTCATCACTCATCTTTGCTTACTGCCAAACAGCAATTTTTTGCAATTCTTTCTGCCAATCCTGTATATGGAACAATCAAATTTTTTCCCTTCTATTCCTTTTCACCTGCATTGGGTGAGTGCAACCTGCATGAATGCATGAACAACCTGGTGGAAATTTATATCTTTTAATTCACCTCCAGAGTATCCATATTTTCTGATACCTTTTTGTGTGTTCATAACAGCCAAACAGGCATTGGATGTACTGAATTTTACTCCTCTCAATGGCAAGCCAATTAGGATAATGTATTCTAACAGGGACCCTACTGTCCGTAAAAGTGGAGCAGGAAATATATTTATCAAGGTACTTGTGTTCTCCAATGTCTTGGATGACGTTCTCTTGAACCATATTATATCAGATAGTTATTTGTTTTTCCCTTTCTGATTGATTCTGATTCCTTATCTCTTTCTTGAAAGAATTTGGACAAGACAATTGACAACAAAGCTCTACATGACACATTTTCTACATTTGGGAATATTCTATCTTGCAAGATAGCTACTGATCATTCTGGCCAGTCTAAAGGATATGGATTTGTTCAATTTGATAATGAGGAGTCTGCCAAAAACGCAATTGATAAGCTGAATGGTATGCTTCTTAATGACAAACAAGTTTTTGTTGGACCCTTTCTTCGTAAACAGGAAAGAGAGTCTGCCACAGACCAGGCAAAGTTTAACAATGTCTATGTAAAGAATCTGTCAGAATCAACAATTGATGAGGATTTACAGAATGTATTTGGTGAATTTGGACCTATAACTAGTGCTGTGATTATGAGAGATGCTGATGGGAAGTCGAAATGTTTCGGATTTGTCAACTTTGAGAATCCTGATGATGCAGCTCGTTCTGTTGATTTTCTCAATGGACAGAAGTTTGATGATAAAGAATGGTATGTTGGGAAGGCTCAGAAGAAATCTGAAAGAGAGATGGAACTAAAAGGGCGGCATGAGCAGAGTTTAAAGGAAACAGCAGACAAATTTGAAGGACTGAATTTATATGTTAAGAACCTAGATGATAGCATCAATGATGATAAGCTTAGGGAACTGTTCTCAGAATTTGGTACAATCACTTCATGCAAGGTTTGCAACATGGTTCAATCTTAGTAAATTCCAATTTTCAGTTTGCAGCATAATACTTGTCCATGGTGTACTCCTCTTATTTCTTTCTCTATCTCTTTCTTTCTTTGGGGCTTAACAGGTTATGCGTGACCCTAATGGTATAAGTAGAGGCTCAGGCTTTATTGCCTTTTCAACTGCTGAAGAAGCATATCGAGCTGTAAGATATTTTGTTGTTTTCATTTTCCCATGTAAGTTTTTTAATAGTTCTTTTTTCTTTTCCTATTGTTCCTCACTTTTGTTCTCTGTTGTAGCTTGTGGAGATGAATGGTAAATTGATAGTTAGCAAACCACTTTATGTTGCACTTGCTCAAAGGAAAGAAGAAAGGAGAGCATGGTTGCAGGTATTTGAATTTTTAGTTTCTTTCTTGTACTATTGGGTCATAGGGACATACAAATATAGAATACTAGTGCAAATATCTAATGAGCTCATTGAGCTGATTTCTCTTTGTTGTGCACTGGTGCTTAAAAAAGACTAGGTTTTTATGTATTTTTAATGAATGTTGAGTTACAATCAGCATAAGCTATTTATGGTTTATGGTAAGAATGTTATATATATGTGTGCGTGTATGTGTATTTATATATAAATTCTGTTGTTTTCTGTACAGGCACAGTTTTCTCATATGGGTCCTGGTGCAATGGGACCCGCTGTTGGCCCTCGGATGCCAATGTATCCTCCTGGCACTCCAGGTCTTGGACCTCAACTATTCTATGGTCAAGGCCTTCCTGCTATAATTCCTC